AGAGAGAGAGAGAGAGAGAGAGAGAGAGAGAGAGAGAGAGAGAGAGAAAGAAAGAAAGAGCGAGAGAGATTATATCTGCCTATAGCACTTACTACTTTGGGAAGATATCAAAGCTTTGTGATTGTCAGTATATTGGGGGAAATTGTCTATGCTTAAATTTATAGTGCTATTTGGTTTAACCATGGTTTCACCAACAGGTGTAATACATTTCCTTTAAGTACGTGTATAAAAGTAGACTTTGATGACAAAAACTACATGCAGTGCCAAGTGATTAGCATAGATGTTTAGAACTATTAAATTATAGCAGAAAGGGTTATGAATGATGTCAATGGTAATAGAAATCATTGAGAAAATTGTCTATAAATATTAGATATTACCAAAATGTCAATACTGTAGATTTTTAAGAGTTTAGAATTAATCTTAGTCATATAAATTTGTACTATTGATAGCTATTTAATAATTTGGAGGAGTTTGAACAGTTAAGCTGGTTGTAAACTGTGAATTTCTAATTGTAAATTGTCATTTCTAATTGAAATTTTTTCAAGAACAGATTTCAGCTTCACATACTAACTAAATACTGACAAATAAAAAATGAGAAATTTAGTATTTATAAGAAAATAGGCTCTAAAATGTCTTATACTTTTCTGTTTCTGCTTAGAGTATATTGGAGGAAGAAAATGTACCCCTAACTTGTGTTTCTAATAGAGTAAGAGTAGAACCATCCCATAAGACAGTGGCATTGCAAGGCTGGTAGAAGAGCATGCGCTGTTGCTGTGGTGATGTGTCCAGGTCACCAGGAGCTGTGTCCTCAGTAGTGTTCTGCTCTGACCCAGAGCTTGAGACAGTTGAAGCTGCATCCATCCCCGTGGCCAGGTGTGCACAGTGGGATGCCAGTGTGTGTGTAGACTGTCTAGTGCTGTTTCCACGCACTTTCAGAGGATGCCACTGATGCCCCGTTCAAAGCACAGATCATTAAGCAATAAGAAACAAAATTGTCTGTCATTCAAATTATAATTACGATTATTCTCCTGTGGTAAGAGTTAGGTGCTAATCTTGTGTGAGAAGAACGTGTGACCACTTTGGAAATATAGTTTGGAAGTAAAGTTTTCCCCCCCTCCTTTTACTTCTGTTTTGTCCCAAATCCACAATTCATGAAAGACAAGTAATTGTTTGGGAGCCGTCTAAGAAGAGCCGCTTGCAATGAGCACTCAGATCTTCCTGAGTGTGGGCTGGAAGAGCTCCACTTTCTCCAGACTGACAGAGCCTGTTGTTCCCATTGTCACTTCTCTTAACTTGGAGAGTGTCACTACACTGAGTCTCACTTCCAGGCCTGCCAGTGACCCTGAGGGCAGTGCTTAGGAAGACACAGACGTCTGCGCAAGTCTTTCTAAGAGCCGATTTCATTTCAGGTCCCCAGGAGGGTTCATTATAGTCCATTAATGCCACTCACAAAATGTGGGATTCCTCCCCTTTGAGTGTTTTTATAGTTAGGTGTATAACTCTGCCACAGATGCATGGATTGCACATTTTGACTTAATACTTAGTATGAAAAATTAATTTATGCCAAAAAGGAAACATATCTTACAATTTTCCCACTTAACTAGGTTGATCTAGCACAAAATGCAAAGTCTTGGGGCAGAGCGGGAGTGGTAAAAATTTTTAATGTATGATTGTTGAAAAATGTTCTATTACTGGCCTGTCAAAAACCCTAACGATGCATTGTGAAACAAATGATGTAAATTAAATTAGCTTTGAAAAGTGGTAAGGGATCATAAAGAGAATCTCAGACTTAATGCTCTCTGACCACATGATCTTTTTTTTTTTTTTTATTTAGTAATACGCTGCTACATTTTTGGAGGTTCTGGTGTTTGTAGGTCACTGAACAGACATTGAAATCTGATTTATATTGTATAACTGTAACATAGAAAGAAAAAGTATTTATATATTTTCCTTAAGAATATTTCATTGAGTTGTGTATAATTTAAATAAGATTTGTCCCCAAATGGTTTTTGCTCACTTTGATTTTTTTTGTTATTATTGTGGTTGTATTGTTTTTGTATAATGTGTACAGTTTATGTTAAGGGCATTAAAGCCTCCTGAAGCATAATCTTATCAAAGGGATTCATTGTTAATAAAATGTACTTAAAATTCTTAAACTTGTGGTGTTGGCATTATTTGAAAATTTAATGTGTCTCACTGGGCCTTGATGTGAATCACATGATGCTGATGTTGACAGGTGTGATTTCTAGTAAATGTGGCTTTTTGAATCTATAAATGGGGATGGTCTTACACCATGAAAAGAGGCCCCAACCGTACTTCCTTGGCATTCTTCCAGATTTAGTGTTACATTCTTACTCTTCAGTTTCAAATCATTATTGTGAAGGATTTGGACACAGACATGTCATTAACTAGAAGAGCTCTGGACTTGCTGAGGTAGTAAGGCCAGGCCATGTAAGTGCTGTGATGCCCATCAGTCTGCACACACTTGCCTGAGCAGATGGGCAAAGAGCCAGCTGAGAAACTCGCTGGGAGAGCCTGGCTCTCTCGGCTGATGGTAAAGTCTGTTCCTCACCTCAAGCAAACTTGTTGCAGGTGTTTGTGGACTGTGGACCCCTGTGTGTTCGTATCATTGTTCTCACCCTATTCTGTGTTTACCAGAAGTGTAGTTAGCGCCCAGATGAAGAGTATGCCTATTATCATTGAATAGGAAAATGTTAGGTTTTCTTTTTAAAACTTCTCCAGATTAAAGTATTCAAATAGCTGGAGACATAGCTCAGTGGTTTAGAGCACTGGCTCTTCTTTCAGAGGACCTGGGTTCAAATCTCAGCACCTACCTGGTGGTTTATAGCCATCTGTAATGCTAGTTTTCTCTTCTGGTCTCTATAGGTGTCAGGCATATACACAGGTATACAGGCACAGGATGAGGCAAACATTTATATACAAAATACTCAAACCACTATACCAAAAATTTAATGAGTATTTCATGAACTCATATATTCAAGGCTTTGTGGCTTTCTTAATGCTTATTTGGAGCACTAGGCCAATTTCATACATTCAGAGCTAGAGAGAACTCATGATCTTGTTTGGTGGCCAATTCTGAAGACTTCATCTCCATTTTACCCTTTGGGGTTTTAGAAATACTTCAGTATTTTCTAAGCCATTTGAGACTAAGCAAGCTTAGACAACGGAGTTTATTGTGCGACTTTTAGTCTGATTCAACTTAGTTTTCTTATAAAGACATACTTTGTAAATGAGATCAACCATGAGGTAGACACATGCAGACTCACCATACAGGGACATCTGTGCACATGTAGAGGCCAAAGTCAAGTGTGTACATCTTTCCATCTTCTTAAGACTGTCTCTTGATGAACTTGGATCCTGACTAGGCTATGGCCTGTGAACTGCAGGAATCTCATCTTACATTGTAAGCTGTCTGTTCACTTTGCTGACTGAGCGTTTAATTCATGTAGTCCCATTTGTCAGTTCTTGAAATTGTCTCTTGTGCTGTTAGAAGTCCTTTTCAGAAGTACTGTTAGAAGAGCTTGCCTATGCCTATATCTTAAAATGTTTTTGTTGACATTTCCTTCTAGTAGGTTGAGAGTTTCAGATCTACATTGGAGTCTTTGATTCATTTTATTTTTGTACAGAAAAACGGATTGAAAGCAATGGGATGTAATTTGAACCATACAGATAGGAAATTTTTGTTCTCTTAGCATCATTTACCGGGGCCTGTCTTTTCAGATATGTTTTTGTACCTTTGTCAAATATTAAGGGGCTGTATCTGAGTGGGTTTGTTTCTGAGTCTTGTGCTGTATATCATTTATCTGTGTGTCTCTTTTCGTGCCCATTTTATATAGTCTTGTTTTTATGGACTGAAGGTTATAGTAATTTATGGTCAGATATTAGAGTATCTCCAGCATTTGCTCTTTGTGTTAAGAATTGCTTTGGATATTCGGGGTCTTTTTACTTCCATGTAAATTTGAGGATTATTTTATCTGGTTCTATGAAGAATCCAATTTGAATTTTTATGGAAATTCCATTGGATATATTTACTAACAGTCATTTTTACAGCATTCTACTAATCCAGGCCCATGGCAGTATTTCCATTTTCTTTTTTTTTCTTTTTTTCTTTTGTTTTTTGTTGGGGTTTTTTTTGGTTTGTTTGTTGGTTTGTTTTTGTTTTTGGAGACAGGGTTTCTCTGTGTAGCTCTGGCTGTCCTGGAACTCACTCTGTAGACCAGGCTGGCCTCGAACTCAGAAATCCACCTGCCTCTGCCTCCCAAGTGCTGGGATTAAAGGCATGTGCCACCACTGCCCGGCTTATTTCCATTTTCTATCGTGTAAATGTAGCCTATTTGCCAGATATAATTGTTTTAGAAGCTTCCTGCTAAGAAAAGCTCATTCTTCCTAGTTCTTTCTGATCTCTGGCTGGCTAGCTCAAGTCAGCTTTTCTAGCTCGAACTCTCCAAGCTGACCAACACAAACTGGATTCTCTTGGCTTCTGACTGAATTGCTCTGTTGTGCCTCAAACTAACTCTAGCAGTATTTTCTAATCTTCTGGCTCCTTCTGTCTTCACCTGCAACCTGCCTCTGTAACACTGTCCCTGTAAAACTGCCTTCTCAGGTAATGCTATGTCCAGTTTTCTGAGGAACTGCCAGACTGATTTCCAGAGTGGTTGTACCAGCTTGCAGTCCCACCAACAATGGAGGAATGTTCCTCTTTCTCCACATCCTCGCCAGCATCTGCTGTCACCTGAGTTTTTGATCATAGCCATTCTGACTGGTGTGAGGTGGAATCTCAGGGTTGTTTTGATTTGCATTTCCCTGATGACTAAGGATGCTGGACATTTCTTTAGGTGCTTCTCGGCCATTCGAGTTTCCTCAGTTGAGAATTCTTTGTTTAGCTCTGTACCCCATTTTTTAATAGGATTAATTGGTGTCTAAAGTCTTAAATTCTTGAGTTCTTTATAGATATTGGATAGTAGCCCTCTATTGATGTAGAATTGGTAAAGATCTTTTCCCAATCTGTTTGTTGCCGTTTTCTCCTATTGACAGTGTCCTTTGCCTTACAGAAGCTTTGCAATTTTATGAGGTCCCATTTGTCAGTTCTTGATCTTAGAGCATAAGCTGTTGGTGTTCTGTTCAGGAAGTTTTCCTCTGTGCCCAAGCATTCAAGGTTCTTCTCCACCTTCTATTAGTTTCAGTGTATCTGGTTTTATGTGGAGGTCCTTTATCCACTTGGACTTGAGCTTTGTACAAGGAGATAAGAATGGATCGATTTACATTCTTCTACATATTGTCCTCCAGTTGAAGGAGGACACTTAGCTGAGGACCCAGCTATACCACTCCTGGGCATAAGAAGATGTGGCATAGCCAGAAGATTAAAAAATACAACTAGAGTTAGTTTGAGGCACAACAGAACAATTCAGTCAGAAGTCGAGAGAATCCAGTTTGAATTAGTCAGCTTGGAGAGTTTGAGCCAGAAAAGCTGACTTGAGCTAGCCAGCCAGAGATCAGAAAGAACTAGAAAGGGTGAGCTTATTTTACCAGGAAGCTTCTGAGACAATTATATCTGGCAAATAAGCTACATTTACACATTAGAAGATACTCCAACATACAGTAAGGACATATGCTTCTCTATGTTCATAGCAGCCTTATTTATAATAGCCAGAAGCTGGAAAGAACACAGATGTCCTTCAACAGAGGAATGGATACAGAAAATGTGGTACATTTACACAGTGGAGTATTACTCAGCTATTAAAAACAATGAATTTGAGAAATTCTTAGGTAAATGGATGGAACTAGAAAATATCCTGAGTGAGGTAACCCAATCACAAAAGAACACACATGGTATGCACTCACTTACAATTGGATATTAGCCCAGAAGCTTGAAATACCCAGATGCAACTCACAGACTACATGAAGCTCAAGAAGAAGGAAGACCAAAGTGTGAGTGCTTCAGTCTTTCTTAGAAGGAGTAACAGAATATTCAAGGGAGCAAATATGGAGACAAAGTGTGGGACAGAAACTGAAGGAGGGTCCGTCTGAAGACTTCCACCTGGGTATTCATCCCATGTGCAGTCACCAAAGGTAGACACTGATGTGGAAGTCAGAAAGTGCATGCTGACAGGAACCTGATACAGCTATCTCCTTAGAGGTCTGCCAGAGTCTGACATATTCAGGGGCGGATGCTCACAGCTAACCATTGAACTGATCAAGGGGTTCCCAATGGAAGAGTTAGAAGACTGAAGGAGCTGAAAGGGTTTGCGGCCCCATGGGGAGAGCAATCATACCAACCAACCAGAGCTCCCAGAGTCTAAACCACCAGCCTGGGAGCACTTAGGGAGGGACCCATGGCTCCAGCTGTATATGTAGGGGAGGATGTCCTTGTCGGGCATAGATGGGAGAGGAGATCCTTGGTCCCATGAAGGCTGGATGCCCAAGTGTGGGGGAATTTGAGGGTGCCCCACTCCAGGTGGGAGTAGGGGGCTAGGGGGCACATCCTCATAGAAGCAGGAGGAGGGTAGGATAGGAGGTTCCTGGGTGGGGGGAAATGTATATGAAATAGCCAATAAAAAATAACCTGCCTTCTCCCTCTCTCTTCCTCTATTCTCTGACGTCACCTCTCTTTCCTGTCTGTTCTTCTACTAAGAGTTGGGCATATCCTATCTCTGACTCACTCTGTCAAGGCTTTCTCCAGTTCATCACTTTGTCCCTCACTTAGACACCACTTTCAAAGATGGCTGCATCCTTCTACAAACTAACTTTACAGACATTGAGGCTGTAGGTGTGTGCTAAGGGTGTATCTGTATTCCAGCCAGATCATACTGTACTCCAGGGCACATCTGTATTCTGGTCAGATCATAAAGACCTAAAAGGTCTTTGGATGTGATCCCTTGCTAGAGCAGCCATGTTGCTGGTTTTAAAATTCTTCTACACTATTATCTTCAATTTCTAAAGTACTTGAAAATTAAGCTCTTTCGTTTCCTTGGTTGGGTCTGATTTTCTTTTTCTGCAAGTCCATTATTGGAATATAGAAAAGCTGCTGGGTTTTTAAATGTCGACTTTGTATCCTGCAACTTGCTGAAGGTGTATACCATATCTAATAATTTTCTCATGGAGTCTTCAGGGATTGATACCTAGAATATATAAGGAACTTTAAAAGAATGAAATTATCAATAAATGGGCTGAGTAGACATTTTTAAAGGAGGAAAAAAAATCTGGAAAAGTGTATAACCGTAGCCATCAGTACAAGGCAAATTAAGAGCTTTAGGATTCCAAATCAAGCCAGGAGATTTCTGCTACTGAGAAAGAAAGCATTGATGAGGATGTGGGGTAGAGGAACCCTTTGCAGTAGTAGACAACTACAACCACTATAAATGTCAGTGTGGTGCTTCCTTAAACTGCAGATAGACCCAAACATACCGCTTCTGCGTGTACACCTACCTGGCACATACTTAAATCAGCATAGCACGGAAATATTTGGGTATCTGCTCATCACTGTTCTGTTTACAATAGCTAGCTAGGGAACTAGCCTAAAAAGCCATCAACAGATGGATAAAGAAATTGGGACATGTTCACATTGGATTTTATTCAGCTCTAAATTGTATGACACCTTCAGGGAAATGGACAGAACCAGAGATCATTATGTTACATGAAATAAGCCAGATTCAGCAAAATAATTCTTTGTCTCAAAGTCTAGTATTACTTCTGTTGCTGTTGGGGTGAGGACTGTAACACAAACATGGGAAGGGGACCAGAGGAGGGAAGGATGAAGATTTAGAGTGTGATGTGCTTCTGAACACAGGTGTGAGCTGAACAGATCCTTTTTAGGTTGAAGGGATCAATTTACATTTTTGTTAAGTTTGTGAGGTGATTTTTTTTTCTATACTCAATAACTGTTAAGTTCTTATTCTGTTAAGGAAATTAAAACAATGTGTTCGTGAAATGTTTTAACTTGGACTTTATTGAAAAAAAGCAAAAAATAACTAGTGTTGTGTAGATTGTTTTTTAAACAAAATTGAAATGAAAAAAAAATCACAAATCAATGTCATTAATATTTCTGGGTGCAAGTTTCCAGTGAGAAATCCATTGACAGGAAAATGTAAACAGAGTATTTGCAATACTGAGCAAAGTCTTTTCCCATCCAGACTATTCAAGATACTGCCTGGTCCTAGTTTAAGTTGTAGCCATGTTTTCTAGCAAAGGCTTGGCATGTAAAGAGAAGATTGAACAGCTTGTGTAGAACATCTGTGGTTGCTTTTATTATGATCTATGGCCACATGCTGTAACACATGCTATAGCGCTTAACAGCTGCATGTGTGCACAAAGTCATCATTGCTACGACACTTAGCTAACAAGACAAAAGGGACACCTCTCTACCTTGTTCTGCAATGTGACAAGCATTAAGAGGAAGGAACCAACGTATGTGTTCAGCTGTTACGTATAGTCATTCCTCTACGGCACTTTCCAGGAGTTGATTACAGGAGCTGTGCTGTTACCAAGATAGGCAGGAGTTCAGGCCTTACCTAAAAATAGCATTGTATGCAGTGGGCATTCCTCCCTGCCGTGCCTAGTACTTGATTTGTGTAAGTGCTAAGGAAATTATTAATACCTTATTTAAGGAATAACAAGAAAAATCTGTGAGTTTAGTACAGACAATTGGTTTTTCTTGAATATATTCTTTCTGAGGTTGGTTGAATCTTGAGGTGGAACCCACAGATAGGACCAAGTGTATTTTGTCAAAAGACATGCTTTGGGGCCAACACAACTGACCTCTACAGTTTAAAGTTCTAGCTAAATTATACCCAGTACTGGGGCTTTAGTATTTTAGCATGACAGGAATGTGAGACAGAATCCTCATGAACCAGACAACCAAGCATGCAAAGAGCAGAGATTAGCTCATGAAATAGGTCATCTAGACTCAGCTTTGTGTGGGGTATATTATATATAAAAGGCATCACTCAATGAAATGTCCTTTTTTTTTTTTTTTTTTCTGTTCTGAGGTAGTCAAAAACAAAAGAGGAAGACTGGAGTCCGTTGAACAGGTTTCAGTCACCTGGATAGCAAGTCTGGAGTTTTTTGCAATCAATCCTGTTTTACTGCAGTAAAACAGTCAGGAGGCCTGTGAAGAATCTCCTGTCCATTTGCACATCTTACTAGCTAGTTTCAGTGTAGGCACAAAAAGAGTTCTTTTTACTTTATCAGTGACTACAAGTTCTCACTTTAAGATACGGCCAAAATCTAGTTTGTAACCTTTCTATAAAAAGTGATAAATCTACATAATGAAAGTAATCTCTTGTGGCATTAATCAAAACATCTGATCCACTTGTTTTGCCCTTAAAATATTAAGTGTGAGATGAAGTTTACATGAAGATGTTTTCTCACTGCAAACCAAAATCCTAGGACCATAGCCGAGTTGTGCAGTTAGGAGGAGGTAGGCTCTGTGAAATGACTCTTGTATACCCTGTGTCAAGCTCAGGGTTACTGCAATAAGGGTGAGCCTGGAACAAAAAATTAACAAGGTCAACATGCTCCAGGATCCTGCCATTTCTAAGGAAGCCTTCAGGATGAATATCATATTGTATAGTTCTGGTCTTCAGTCTGTTGGTCTGTAGTGATCGTTCATAAATCAGCACTGCAGACAATGAGTGCCCCAGAACCAAAGTCCAGGGCACGTGGTGTTGGCATGGTACCAGCTACATCCCCCAAAGTGCCTGTAGTGTATGGTGTGCATTTGTGCTGCTTGCTGTTTACTGTTCACCTTGGCCTACTAGGATCATTGAGGTCAAGCTGTTATTTTCCATCAGAGAAGGTGATATGAGGCTCCCTGGAACTGCCATTTGCCTTTTATACTCTGAACCATGCACTGGTGTGGGTGGATTCGTGGCAAGCCTGTCCTTGTCTCCACACATGGGTGAAGCCAGCTGGGACACATAAATCAAGCTAGTTTCTTCAGTCGGACTTTCGACCAGGGACTTCATGTAGTCGTTTTCTAATACATTCTGTAACTTGTTAGGTGGAGCCAATAGTCTGAGTTGGTGTGGTGTGTCTTTTAGGGGTCCTGGAATGAGGCCATGGGAATTGGAGTCAAAAGCTGACTGATCATAAGTAAAATTCTCAAAGAATACACAGGGCACAGGGCTAGAGGAATCCTTTTCCATTGGCATGGATGGAGGCTTAGTGGGTATATCTTCCGTGTGAAGTTTCCCAGAGCCCACACACTGTGTCTTGCTGCCTTCTGCTTTGTTTATAACTTCAAGGACATCTGGAATGCAGTCTTTGACGTTCATTATTAAGTGAGGATTCTTCTGCAAAGGAATCAAACATAGATAAGCTAAATGCACAAGAGGGAGTATCCAAATGTGTGTACAGTGTGCACTGAGAGTTTCCCATTTCTTCCTGGCCATATGTTAACTTGAAGATTGTGACAAAAGCCAGATGACTCACCAGGACAGAACAACTCATTTCTGTCTTAGGAGTCTGTGTCTGACTCCCAGTTGGATGATGCCTTCCTCTCTCACCACTGACTTTTCTGGAAGCCCACAATGAGTAAGATGCAATTACATTTGTTTGGTCTATGCTGGGATCAAAACCAGGGCTTCTCTCCATTCTGCCACTGAGCTGTACCCTAGTCCAACCTGCCTTGCTGCTGTGTTTGCACTTCTAATTTATCATCTTTTCCTGAAGAGGTATAAGAAAGCTTGATCAATATAGCCTCAAACCACAATGAATTCTTTCCTGTCACACACACACACACACACACACACACACACACACTTTCAGGTTTTTGAAAGAGAGTCTTACTCCATAGCCTTAGAAGGACTCTATAGACCAGACTAGACTCAGGCTCACATAGGTAGGGACCACAGGCATGAGCCACCAAGCCTGGCTGTCCTTCACTGGCATGGTACACATACAACATCACCACATTTACCTTGGATTTTATGAGTGACAGGATGCTGCTCTTGTACGGATTGGGAATCTCAGGATAGCACTTCTCCTTCACCCTGGAAGAAGGGCGAAAAACAAAACTGATGAACAATTCAGTGGGACCGGTACGGGCGAGCACTCTCAAGTATGCTCAGACATGAGTCATCTCTTCCCCATCTATTCACTCAGAAGGCAAGCTTGTCAGCTAGATTACATATGCTCACCTACATATCTTTGTTCTTTCCCTCATTCTTTCCCCCATATGGTTCCATATCCCTTCTGTCTTATGGTCTGTTTCTAACTCTTGACTAAAGGCTTCCTGTCCACTTACCACTGACTTTTCCAGTAACACACAATGATGCTGAGCAAGACACCGAGGGTCATGGGAAGTAAGATCGGCAGCAGCATATGGGCTAAAGAAGAAAAGGGAAAGCAATCGTTTTCACATATGCATTGACCTCCTTAAAAAAATAAATGGTTATGGGGGTGAAGAATTTTCCATGTTTACTGATCCTCAACTACATGTAATTATCCAAGACTCAGTATGTGGGTTTTTTTTAATCAGTTTTAATTCTGAAAAAGAAATCACTTTTCACAAAGGGACTAGGTCTTATTTATTAGATTTAGAGAAATTTAACTGGGTGGAACTTATAGGGAAAATTCAATCTGAATCTTGCCTGACTAGGAAGAGAGACGACCAATGAGGCTAGGTATAGTGGTACATACCTGCAGCCCTCCTAACATCCAGGAGGTAGAGCAGAAGTAGCAGGAGTTCAAGGCCAACATGGGCCATATGAGACACCAACTAATGCAGGGAGCCCTTTGCTGTGAGTCAACAAACACTCCATAGTTCAAACTCATTAAGTCTGATAGAAGGTAGAAGATACCATGACTGCCCAGTTTCTCACTCCCTACCAGAGGTACTTTAAATATGCTTGGCCCATGGGAAGTAGCACTGTTAGGAGGTGTGGCCTTGTTAGAGAAAGTGTGTCACTGTGTAGGCAGGCTTTGAGGACTCCTAGTGCGCAAGCTCCACCTAGTGAAAAAGAGACCCTCCTCCTTCCGGCTACCTTCAGATCCTTTGGATTCTTGGCTTCCCCAGTACCAGGTCTGCCTGCATGATGTCATGCTTCCCACCATGATGATAATGAACTGAACCTCAGAAACTAAATGTTTGCCTTTATAAGAGTTGTCTTGGTCACAGTCTCTCTTCACAGCAAACTAAGACACTATCTTAGCTCTGTGGTAGGTGGGAGTATTTTTCTGCCTCTTGCCGGGGTGGGGGGGCTTAACCACATGCCTTATGGTGATCAATGGATGATAGCTTTGGTCTAAGGATGGGTTTCAAATACGCTTGCATAGCCATTCTCTTCTTTCTCCACTATGAAAAGAATATGCCAAGTGTACTGCTGCTTTTTACAAGTGACTTTATATGAAAAATACCTGCGCTAGACCCAAGCCCTGAGGTCAGTGTGGCCCAGTCAGCCAAGCCATGTTGACAAGGAATCTCTTATCAGAAAAGAATTTCAGGATGAGCCAGTTGAAGTAGAATTGAAGTTTATCCAATTTATTATAGATTTTAAGCATTAGGATTTTTTTTAAAGTGTTCAGAGAGGAAGTGCAAGACACTCAAGAAGGTTGATATGTGCTTCTTTAAGAAGCATCCCAAGATTTTCTCCCCTGCGTCCTTCATCTGGGTTACATCCTTTCTCCATCTTTCTGTCAGTGACTGGCAGGGTTCCTGTTAGAAACGCAAAACCCATCTTTTGCTGTCCACTCTCTTGTTCCCAGTTTGAATTACTTTCTTTGATCCATAATCGTGTGTGTGTGTGTGTGTGTGTGTGTGTGTGTGTGTGTGTGTGTGTGTACAGGTGCATGTGGAGAAAAGAGAAAGCTACTATCATTCATCAGGTACCATTTACCATGCTTTTCGAGTCTGTCTCTCACTGGTCTGGAGGTGACCAAGTAGGCAATTCAGACTGGCCAGTGAGCCCCAGAAATCTCTGTCTCCCCCTTCCCCACACACACTGGGCTTTCAAGCAAACACCACCACTCTCAGCTGTTTACATGTGTTCTGAAGAACAAATTCACGCTCTCATGCTTAAAAAGCAAGCACTTTATCAGATGAGTTCTACCCCGTGACTGTGGTGATGGTGTTCGATTGACTCCTAGACATAGGATCCTGGGGTCAGAGGGTTTAAGTTTCAAAAACTTCTCCTCATTTCTTTTAGAATTGTCATGAAACTGTCTCCTGTAAACATTTATCCCGTCCCCGCAGCAGAACAGGATGCCTGCCCTTCCCTTTGGGATGCTTGACACTTTAGTCTCCGGACTCTGGAAGTGGGCTCCTGGTTGTGTTACCAATCAGACTGATTCTAAAATTCTTCTTTTGAGGGAGCTGATCCAGTATTCACGGCTTGATCTAGTGCACACTACCAACCTCTAAGTATCCCCAGAAGCCCTAGCAGAGTCAAAAGTTGCCAGTTAGCCCAGAAAACCCAGCCAGAAGGAAGGCTGAGGTGGAAGGCTACCCACTATCATCCAGGGCCTGCTCGAGTGAGAAACCAGTAGCTCTTCTGATGTCAACTCTAAAATATGCTGTGACTTTCAAGTCACCCTAAGACTGACTCCCAGAGACAAGAAGTTTCTAGATCATAATGGGTCAGGTGACTGCTGACTTGACTTGGGATCTGAAATAGGATTCTGAATAACATTTATGTGTGGAAGGGAGAAAAGGAAGTGGGGGCTGGAGAAAGAGAGAAGAAATCATTGAAGCGTCCTGATCTGGAGAAAGCATAGGAACGAAACCTTGAGGGAAACACTTGCTTTGGAGAAACTCACAGCGTGCATCTGGAGTTGTGACCTTTGTGAACGTTTCATTGGGTCCCTGGCCGGCGCTGGTATATGGAGTGACAAAAAACTCATAGAGGGACTCCGGCCGAAGATTTTCCACGGTGAGTGTCTTTGTCTCTGAGCCATTGATGTCATATTTACAGATCACTGAATTATCTATGATTGAAACACAACATTAGCAAGAAAATCATACTCAAGGTGTGGCAGAGCCCTGCTTGTGACCAGTTAGTAGAGTATTCGCCCAGCTGACACAGGCCATGGACTTAATTCCCAAAATGCTAGACACCAGACATGATGGCACATGCCTATAATCCCAGTAGGAAGAGCAGAAGCTTGAGGTCGTCTTCAGCTACACAGTGAGTTCGAGCCAGCCTGGGATGCATGCCTTCCTGACTTATTAAGAAAAAGAAGGAAAGAAAAGAGTGTGGCAGAGACCTTGTGCAAGAGCCAGGTATTGATACCCCTGCTCTCTTGGTGCCATCAGCATCCTTAAGCCAACCTCAAATCAAATAATAGTCTCAAAATTTTCAAGGTGTGCCACAATAAGCAAAATATCCGCTAAGCAGGGAGTGGCAATAATACAGGTAGAGAGTTCCGCCAGATGTAATAGGCGCACACAGGGAAAGTAAGATCGCACCCGAGGTGTGGCTTACAGACAGACTTCTTACTCATAGTACGTGGGAGGCCGTGCATTGGGTCCTCAGCACCACAAGCACATGAATAAATCTAATACCCTTTGACAAAGTATCTTTTTTGTTTATTTTAGGAGAGGCTGGGAAAGCAAACAGCTTTTCAAAATAAAAGGGTTTCTTTAGGGGCTGACAGTCAGCCCCACATCATTTTTTTAATTGGATATTTTATTTACATTTCAGATGTTATCCCCTTACCCCATTTCTCCCCTCCCCCCCCCCCCCCGAGCCCCCCCGCGCCCCCCGCCCCCTCCTACTATGAGGAGGTGGTCTGACCTCCTACCCCCCACTCACACCTCCCCACCCTCGAATTCCCCCACACTCGGCGTCCAGCCTTCATGGGACCAAGGATCTCCTCTCCCACCTATACCTGACAGGACCATCCTCCCCTACATATAGAGCTGGAGACATGGGTCCCTCCCTAAGTGCTCCCAGGCTGGTGGTTTAGACCCTGGGAGCTGTGGTTGGTTGGTATTGTTGCTCTCCTCATGGGGCCACAAACCCCTTCAGCTCCTTCAGTCTTCACTCTAACTCCTCCATTGAGAACCCCATGATCAGTTCAATGGTTAGCTGTGAGCATTCGCCTCTGTATATTTCAGGCTCTTGCAGAGCCTCTAAGGAGACAGCTATATCAGGGTCCTGTCAGCATGCACTTCCTGACATCCACATCAGCATCTACCTTTGGTGACTGCACATGGGATGGATACTCAGGTGAAATGGTCTCCAGACAGCCCCCCCTTCAGTTTCTATCCCTCACTTTGTCACCATATTTGCTCCCTTGAGTATTTTGTTACTCCTTCTAAGAAGGACTGAAGCACTCACACTTTGGTCTTCCTTCTTCATGTGCTTCATGTTGTCTGTGAGTTGAATCTTGGGTATTCCAAGATTCTGGGCTAATATCCAATTATCAGTGAGTGAATACCATGTGTGTTCTTTGTGATTTTTTAACTGAATTAAAATTCCTCTCCCTCCACTCACAGCCCCCTTTGTTTCTCTATTGATTGTAAATTGGCATGGGAAGAGCATCAGCCTGGTCCCCAGCCTGGCCCTGTCACGTAAGGGGCCTTTCTGAGCTTTTTTCTAACTCTGCCTATGGACTCAGCCTCGATTTCATGGCTCCCAACTGTGAGATCTTTTGAGTCTAAGCCAACAACCAAGAGAGTGAGCATCACCTGGAAGAAGAAGAATCCTTTCCCAGTTTTGGTTGCACTGCAGCTCCTTGGATTTCAAATACACGTGGTACCCTTTTATAAAACCAGACTGGAAGTCACTGGTGTAGTGTGACCAGTTTAAAACGAGGGAGTTAGGGGTCAAGTTATCAATCCTCACTTCTGGATTCACCAAAGGAGCTAGGAAAGGAAGATGGGGCAAGAACAAGTCACGATGTGGGAATGGTCTCGGAACATTTGTGCAAACTAAACACAGACCACAGGCAACTGTGGATGCTGAGCTCCTGTCAAGGGGTTTTATCGCTTTCCCTGGATATTGTGTACCAAGACACACACAGTTCTGTGTGCTGGGAAGGAGCTGAGCCTTTCACAGTGAAGACATAAACACATAGATTCAGTAATTTGTGGAAAAGTCAGAGGGAGAAATGTGAAAAAATAAAAGGTCTATCTTAGGCTTGGTCCTGGCCTTGACGTCTCAACCACACTTTCTGAGCCAGAGAATCTAAAGACATGAAGAGGAAAAGACAGAAAAGGCAAAGTATGTTTAAAAATATGAGAGGGAATTTGGAGAATTCAGTTCCAGGAACAAGGCAATATGTGTTATCAGACACTCTAGAAACGTACCCAGTAAATCCTGTTCTGCACCCCACCCTCTCTCATACACACACACACACACACACACACACACACACACATATATATTTGGGCACACACATTTGGGCACAGTGTCTGCACACAGAGACACATTCAATTGACATGCCCCTCCCTTTCCTCTTTGCCCACCATGAATACTGGATCAGTTCCCCCAAAGGAAGAATTTTAGAGTCAGTCTGATTGGTAAAACAACTAGGAGTTAGCTTTCAGAGTCCAGAGACCCTAATGCCAAGCATTTAATTGGGAAGAGCTGGCATCCGATTCTGGTGCTGAGAAGGGGGTAAATGTTTATAGGAGGCAATTTCATGACAGATCTAAAAGAAATGAGGAGCTTTTTTTTTAAGCTGAAACACTTTGACCCAAGGATTCTATGTTTAGAATTCAAACACCAACATCGTAGGCATAGGTGATAGCTCACTTGGTAAAATACTTGCTTTTTAAGCATGAGAGCCTGAGTTTGTTCTTCAGAACACATGCAAACAGCTGAGAGTGGTGGTGTTTGCTTGAAAGCCCAGTGTGTGTGTAGGGAAGACAGAGATTCCTAGGGCTTGGTGGCCAGTCAGTGTAGCCTACTTGGTGAGCTCCAGGCCAGTAAATGAGGACTCAAAAGGCATAGTATATGGTACCTGATGAATGATAGTGGCTTTCTCTGATCTCAACATGTACCTGCACACACACACACCACACACACACACACACACTCACACACACACTCACACTCACATATACACACACACATACACACACACATACACACACACACATATACACACACACATACAGAGAGAGAGAGAGAGAGAGAGAGAGATTGGTTATGGATAGAGACAAGGATTTTAGCTAAATGATCGGGCACAAGAGAATGGACAGCAAAAGAGAAGTTTGCAATTTGGAACCACAAGCTACTTGAAGATATATTTTACAGTTTCTAAGTGAAAATCATTGCAGTCATTCTAAATTGTCCAAAAATAGGTGGTTTGGCATATGCAGAAGGGTTCTTTCCCATCATGGAAGTAGCATAGTGGTTAAGTAATATTTTCTGGCATTAATCAAGAAAGAAGTTAAATAACTTTGTAGAGCATCTCATTTTTATTTAAGCGAGCATATTGCTATAGAGAAATGGGTATCAGTGTTCAATAGACTAACTGGATATTGACTATTGGTGGTAAAATTAGCAATGGTTTCATCCTCTTTTATGTAAGGTTTTATACATCTCCTTTAATGAAGATGTTTCATTTATATGATTTTAAAAACTTAGTACCATTTTTTAAAATAAATGGAACCATTAAATTAAATATGGCAGCAAAACCTTTCTAAACACAAAACCGTGGCCCAGCACAAGTCTTCATGAGTCATGCCAAATGCCTTCTACTTACCCAGTTCCTGGGTGTATCCTCTTTGCTTCTCTATTAACCGAGCATTCTGTTCCACAGATCTTTCAAAAATTCTGAAGTTGTAACGCACCCCTGGTTTAAAAGCATCTAGAGAAAAGAAGTCAAATGTTTTTAAGAAGACACAGCAACACCATTTGTGCTGAGTAGGAAAGGATGGATGGTGAGCAAGCATCTCCTAGTAGTTTCTCTCTCAAGATCTTTCCATTCTTTCCTGTGGAGTTTCCCTCCTTCCGCTAGGCCTTAGAACTTTCTGTGTTGCGAACACAGTGCTGTCTCCGGTCTATCGAGACTGCCATGTTCTCTGGAGCCAGGATCGTCAGCGTGCCTCTCCTGTGTTCTCAGGCTCCCTCATCTGTGCTCTCCTGCCCCTGAATCTTGCAGGGCTCTCCATCACTTTCTGGATTGACATGATTCCCACACCAGTCCTTCAGCCTCTGCTTCCTTCTTAGGCCACTCCCTTGAGCCCCTTTGACCTCCCTATAAGAGCAGGCATTGTTAAGTTGTAGATTCATTGCAGGAGGGGAGAATTCATGCCTAAAAGTTCCTTGAAACTGCAAGCTGATTCTGCTTCCATCAACTCTATGCCCTAAATGTCCCAAGTTTGTGCTGTTCTCTGCATCTGCCAAAGCTTTCTGCAAGCGGTTCCGATGTCCCTCTAATTTAGCAGAGACATTTATTAAAACCTGCACTATGGGTCTACATTTCCATACTTTGCTGCAGTAGATTTTAAGTTCAAAGTTCAGAATCCATTCCCAGTAAATTCTGATCTCTGAGCAACCACACTAGACTCGTCACTTCAAAATCGCTAGCCTAGCACAAAGTATCCGTAGAACAGAACTGAAGTCTATGATGAACTTCCTGCAAGAGGGATATGCAAGGAGGAACCCTGAGAACTCTCACCTGAGGTGATGATGGTGCTTGTGGTATTGGGACCTAGCTTCTTCCATTGCAAATCACAGTGCTGGTCCTGAGAATGTGCACACCAGTCCACAACATAGCCTGTCGTGTCTCCAGATACAGGCTCCCAAGAAATACTGAATGCATCCTTCATACCTTTAATTGTTTTTTCCTGGACCTCTTCTGTACAGAAACAAATAGAATAATACTTCTGATTCAGTTCAATTTTTTTTTTTTTACATCTTCCAAGGAAGGAAAGAAACCGACACTTGCAATGTTTGTTTATGGCTTTGCTTTAAACTGTCTCTCAAGGGCTTCTGTACCTAAAGCATTGGTCCGAAGATTGTGACACTCTTTGGAAGCAGTGAAACCTTTCAGATGTTGACACTGGAAGACTGAAGTTAGATTACTGGGCGTGCTATGAAAAAAGAGACCCTGGCACAGTCCTCTCTTTGCTTCCCAAGTTCCATGAGCTTTTGTTCTAGCACAAGCTACCCACCATGATACTCATCTTCCCAACAGCCCCAAAAGCAACAAATTAACCAACCACGATATCAGTCTCCACAACTATGAACCAGAACAAACTTTACCTTCTTATAATTTGTTTCCCTCTGGTACTTTGTCATAACAGTGGGAAGTTGACTAACACAGTATCTCACAGGCAAGAGCCTATCATTTCTATAGAGGATTGACTACAGGTGTTCCTCACTATCTCTAGTCTTCAAATCATGTTCCAACCAGCAGCTTGCTAAGCAGTAGGACCCTAAGTTTGGGATGTCTACTGTACATGGTTCACTTGTAACGTATTGGCAATGTTTCACTTTCAAGAGCGCCTCCAGCCAGCCTTGATGCAGCTACAAGCAAACAGAAAACACAGGAACCTTGCTAAGAAGCTTGCTAAGGACACCTCTCACCACCCCCAGCCAAAATAAAAGCATAGAGTCACAAATTACTAGCAGCCAAGCTTTCCTGCTCGGCCATCCAACTGTCTTAAATAAACAGTATGTATTTTAAATAAGCCGTATGTGAAACATCTCGATGAATCCAGCACAGGTTTTTGTTTGGGAAATGACAACAGTAAGTGACAGATGACTTGTAAGATTGCATTTTCTGGTTGCTCAGCCAAAGTGGAAAGGGTTGGAGGAGACCTCTGTGTTAGGGTGACAAAAGCTCCTCCATCGATGGCCTTTCCCAGGTCACACTCAGTCTTGTAAAAGTCATGAAATAAACCTCCTTGTTCCCGCTACTCTGAGTCTCCAGTGCTCTTAAGGAGTGAGGGCCCACATTTCTCGCATCTCTGAACGAATGAAGAGGAAATGTCAGTTTCGGTGTGAGACAGATCCCTTTCTTTGACGGAGGGAGGGGAAGAAGCTGTGTGAGTCAACTTCAGCTGAGAACCAGCACACTGAAGAAAGCAGCTCAACAACAACTTTTACTTTATGCCTAGAGCTGCGCTCCTGCCAGGGAACAATGACCTGGAAAGAGTAGCAGCATCTTTCTTCCATGCAATGATTAACTGGTAATTAGAACGTCCGAGTGTAACAGGATGCCCAGAAAAATCTGAACTGTGGGTTTTAGTGAAATTTTGTGGTAATGGATAAAAATCTTCAGTCTCAAGTTTAAAATGTGGCCCTACTCCAGAGCAATAGAGCATATTTCCCATAAGACGGTCTTTTTGAAAACAAAATACCTTCTAATATGGTTCACTTAGCCTAAGCTTAAACTGAACTGTAACTGAACCATGCAATCCTCCCTAGCCCCATGAGAAGGTGCTGGCATCTTTACAGCAAGAACTGCAAGATGGCATTATCGCAAGGTACATTAATGACCTCAGCAGGTCAACTCACTTCTGGCTTTTGTTATGTATACTGTTTCTTGGCAGGAGACTAGGGATGTACTATGCCCAGACTTTCTATGGCTCAGTCAAGGAGGACATTAATGTCACTCTTAGATTTAGATGTGAGATCACTTCCTCTTTGCCCAATCCTTAGTTGGCTGAAATATTAGCAGGTTATCATCTGTTGTTATTCTACAAACTTGGCCAAATTACAATGTCTCTTGAAAGAGTATGTCAGCTCTCCTTAGGATAGCCATGATATTCATGGGCTCCTCAGCCCCACCACTGTTTTGTCTCACTGTGGTCTCACTATGGAGCAGAGGCTGGCCTCAAATTCGTGATCCTCCTGCCTCAACCTCCTAAGTATTGTAGCTACAGGCATGTTCCATCATGGCTGTTCCATAAACTCTTTATAGATGATAAGAGTTGGCAAATATTGGTTACTGCACAGTAAATACCCATATCTCCTAAGACAAAGTCTCTAGAGTGCTGTCTTGACTCTCAGGGATAATTGCTGTGAGACTGCATTCACTCACATGAATTTTAGATCATCCCTTAAGTGTGTGGAAGCACCCAGGGACAGAGTGTGCTGGGCCACAGTGAAAGGACTGTCATATTGCAACCTGCTGATACACCCAGCTCTGAAGGAAGTGCCTGATCACACACACATGATTGCCTCAAGTTATGGCTTTGTCTGTCACTATTTGGAAATATCATCAATATTTCCCCCAAGAATGGAAGTCAAATTGACCAAGGCTGACTCACCATGTCCAGAATCTTTAGAAAGGACCATCAAGGACTCAGGAGATGCCCCCGCACTGTTGTTGGCTGTGATGTGAATCTTGTAAGGATGCAGGTCAAGACTCAGGTTTGTGCTAAGGGCTGGTGCCGGAACAGAGTAGTGTTCTGATTCAGTTGGTTTGGCTTCATTTTCTACAACTATGTTATAGGATATGATTTTGCCATTGGCCTGTGATTTTAATAGTGGCTGGAAAAGATGATAATCCTTTCAAAATGGGCTTTACTCTAAAATTACTTTCTCATTTCTTCCATCCCTTAGCTGCCCAATCCACATATACATAAGAACACACACACACACATATATGCACATACCTGTGTGCACACACATATGTACACATACACTACCTCATTCACACATGTAAACATATTAGAACAAACGTATGTCTCTCTGTGTGTGCACACACATGCACACACGCACATCAGCACATTCATAAAATTGAATAGAGAAATCATCTCAACACCAAGCTTAGAATCAGGCATGTCAATCTAACTGAAGAGAGCAGAGACAAAAATCATTTAGAGATTATATTAAAAGATTTATACTGTATCCAGAGAGCAGGGACTGAGTCAAAAGTCAAGAGGAATATAGATTCCTTAGCTCCAGAGGAAATAAGATTTGAAAGGCAGCTAAGAGAAGGCACAGGAGTGGAACCAGCACTCAGAAGTTCATGTAAGAAGAGCCTGTGTCCTGGCCTTCCTTTACCTGTCCTCTCTCACACTGACCTTTGCCCCCTAATTTATATTCTTTCTTCTAGAAGATGCTCATGATTGCAGAGAAGTCCTGGCCCTCAAAGTCCCAGGTTAGCATCCATTAGAGCTTCCTGAGGTCTGCTCTCCCTGGAACAGACTATGTCCCACTCTGTGGACCCTTAGATCTCAGATTAAGCGGTAGTTGTTCCCTCAGGCTGGGGACAGAACTCAGCAGAGCCACACATGTATATGCAGAGACCCAGAAGACTGTACCAAACTCAAGGGGAGAGGAAAAGTTGGCGAGGCTGTGACAATGGATGAACAATCTCCTATTACCATGTTTTGGCATGAGACATTGAGGAATCTCAGAGCCCTGAATACAACGTTGGTCTTCCAGGTTGTCATGCAGTGGATTGGGACAGGCAGAAGGATAATGTTGATCTTCTATCATAAATTAATAGCTTGATTTGAAACTTTTGTATTTACATATCCATAATTCAAAAGCAGAGTATGTGACTCTAGACATAGCTCTTTGTCTTGAGCCTTGCAAAAGTTATGCGGTAGACCTAAGTAGAACATTGAGGAAAGATTCTAACAATCACAAGCAGCCATCAGTTGGGCTCAGGGAAATTGTAGCCTGAGCACTAGGGCATGGATATGGAGTGGGTCTTTCTCCCTGATAACCAGCCCTGTGAGACTGACACCATGGTTTCTCCTGGCTGAGGAGTGCACTGCTATCCAGAAGCAGCAAGTCAGACCTTCTGAAGCTGCAAGTCTTACCTTCCAGAATAAGGTCACAGCTTGTCTCCCATTCTCTGCCCACACTTGTCTCCACACATCAAGAGCCTGTGAGGGGGCTGAAATGAATCAAAGACAAGTCCCAAGGTCATTTTGTCTGCAAAGAAGGTCATACTTTCCATGTCCTTCTGAGCCAGTGACCCTCAACCTTCCTAATGCTTTGACCCTTTAATATAGCTCTCTGTGTTGTGGTGACCCCTTGCAACCATAACATTATTCTGTTGTTACTTTATCACTGTAATTCTGCTACTATTATGAATCACACTGTGAATATCTGATACGCAGGATATCTGATATGCGACCCCTGTGGGGGTTATGACCCACAGGTTGAGAACTCCTGTTCCAAGCCATGATTATTCTGGCCCTGCCAGGGGCTTGTTAGCTAAGTCTCACTTTCTGTGACTTCTGTGCAAGGACCAACAGCCACACTGCTTACTCAGCACTCACAGTGTGGGTTTTTAATACTCTCACTGTCTATATTTATTGTACATGATACCACATTATATTAAGAACATGTCCATATAAGTTTATAGTAGGTGCTTTAGAAACGGAGATGAGCTGTCCTGAACACAATACCAAACTCGAAACCTACCAATCAGCTGTCCTGATTACAATACCAAACTCAAAACCTACCAATCAGCTCTAGAGCCTCTGGAGGCCACTAATGAATTTTTTTTTTTTTAAGAATAATTCTAATCTTAGCCATTCTGACTGGTGTGAGATGGAATCTCAGGGTTGTTTTGATTTGCATTTCCCTGACGACTAAGGATGCTGAACATTTCTTTAGGTGCTTCTCGGCCATTCGAGTTTCTTCCATTGAAAATTCTTTGTTAAGCTCTATACCCCATTTTTTAATAGGGTAATTTGGTTGTCTGGAGTCTAATTTCTTGAGTTCTTTATATATATTGGATATTAGCCCTCTATCAGATGAAGGATTGGTAAAGATCTTTTCCAAATTTGTTGGTTGTCATTTTGTCCTATTGACAGTGTCCTTTGCCTTACAGAAACTTTGCAATTTTAAGAAGTCCCATTTGTCAATTCTTGATCTTAGAGCATATGCCATTGGAGTTCTGTTTAGGAATTTTTCCCCTGTGCCCAAGTATTCGAGGCTTTTCCCCACCTTCTCTTCTATTAGTTTCAGTGTATCTGGTTTTATGTGGAGGTCCTTTATCCACTTAGACTTGAGCTTTGTACAAGGGGATAAGAATGGATCAATTTTCATTCTTCTACATGTTGTCCTCCAGTTGAACCAGCACCATTTGTTAAAAATGCTGTCCTTTTTCCACTGGATGGTTTTAGCTCCTTTGTCAAAGATCAAGTGACCATAGGAGTGTGGGTTCATTTCTGGGTCTTCAATTCTATTCCATTGATCTTCCTGCCTGTCTTTGTACCAATACCAGGTAGTTTTTATCACTATTGCTCTGTAGTACAGCTTGAGGTCAGGGATGGTGATTCCTCCAGAAGTTCTTTTATTGTTGAGAATAGTTTTCGCTATCCTGGGTTTTTTGTTATTCCATATGAATTTGAGAATTTCCTTTTCTAACTCTGTGAAGAATTGAGTTGGGATTTTAATGGGGATTGCATTGAATCTGTAGATTGCTTTTGGCAAGATGGCCATTTTTATTATATTAATCCTGCCAATCCATGAGCATGGGAGATCTTTCCATCTTCTGAGATCTTCTTCGATTTCTTTCTTCAGAGACTTGAATTTCTTGTCATACAGGTCTTTCACTTGCTTGGTTAGATTCACACCAAGGTATTTTATATTATTTGCAACTATTGTGAAGGGTGTCATTTCCCTAATTTCTTTTTCAGTCTGTTTATCTTTCATGTAGAGGAAGGCTACTGATTTGTTTGAGTTGATTTTATAACCAGCCACTTTGCTGAAGTTGTTTATCAGGTTTAGGAGTTCTCTGGTGTAAGTTTGGGGGGTCACTTAAGTATACTATCATATCATCTGCAAATAGCGATATTTTGACTTCTTCCTTTCCTATTTGTATCCCTTTGACTTCTTTTTGTTGTCTAATTGCTCTGGCTAGGACTTCCAGCACTATATTGAATAGGTAGGGGGAGAGTGGGCAGCCTTGTCTAGTCCCTGATCTTAGTGGGATTGCTTCAAGTTTCTCTCCATTTAGCTTGATGTTGGCTAGGTGATAATAGATGCTGGCGAGGGTGTGGAGAAAGAGGAACACTTCTCTATTGTTGGTGGGACTGCAAGATGGTGCAACCACTTTGGAAATCAGTATGGCGGTTCCTCAGAAAATTGGACATAGCATTACCTGAGGATCCAGCTATACCCCTCCTAGGCATATACCCAGAAGATGCTCGAACATATAACAAGGACATATGCTCAACTATGTTCATAGCAGCCTTATTTGTAATAGCCAGGAGCTGGAAAGAACCCAGATGTCTTTCAACTGAGGAATGGATTCAAAAAATGTGGTATATTCACACAATGGAGTAGTACTCAGCTATTAAAAACAATGAACTTGAGAGGTTCCTAGGTAAATGGATGGAACTAGAAATTATCATCCTGAGTGAGGTAAGCCAATCACAAAAGGACACACATGGTATTCACTCACTGATTATTGGATATTAGCCCAGAACCTTGAAATGCCCAAGATGCAACTCACAGGCCACATGAAGCTCATAAAGAAGGAAGACCAAGTGGGGGTGATTCGGTCCTTCTTAGAAGGAGCAAGAAAATACTCAAGGGAGCAAATATGGAGACAAAGTGAGGAACAGAAACTGAAGGAGGGGCCGTCTGAAGACCACTCCACCTGAGTATCTATCCCATGTGCAGCCACCAAAGGTAGATGCTGATGTGGATGTCAGGAAGTGCATGCTGATAAGAGCCTGATATGGATGTCTCCTCAGAGGTCTTCAAGAGTCTGACATATTCAGAGGCAGATGCTTACAACTAGCCATTGAACTGATCATGGGGTTCTCAATGGAGGAGTTAGAGTGAAGACTGAAGGAGCTGAAAGGATTTGTGGCACCATGAGGAGAGCAACAATACCAACCAACCACAGCTCCCAGGGTCTAAACCACCAGCCTGGGAGCACTTAGGGAGGGATCCAGGGCTTTAGCTGAATATGTAAGAGTGGAGGGCCCTGCTGGGCATAGGTGGAAGAAGAGAACCTTGACCTCATGAAGGCTGGACGCCCCAGGGGGTGGGAATTTTGAGGGTGGGGAGGTGGGATTTGGGGGGGTAGATAGAGGTTACATCCACAGAGAAGAAGGAGGAGGGGTGAGGGGATTGGGGGTTCCTGGGTGGGTGGGGGATGGGGTCAACATATGAAATGTAAATAAAACATCCAATAAAAAAAATAAATCTCAATTTTAGACACACACACACACACACACACAAAAAGAATAATTCTAAGAGGATACAGATCAGTTTCTCATTTTTCCCCCCAGACAGAAACAATTGCCATGTGCAAGTCTAAGACAGAGACACACTAGCCTAGGCCTTTGGGCCAGCAAGCCCAGGGGCCCTGCCTGGCTTTCATGATTTCCTCTGCTGACCCCTCACTGGAGTTACAACTTGGAAATACTTCCTTGCCCTCTTTGCTTCCTGATCCTGTCAGCTATCGTTTATTGGCACACAGGGGGCCAGCTGTCTGGTCCCCAAATCCTGGCACTAAGTATTGCTTCCAAGAGTCCATCTTTCAGAGGAAGATGAATCAAGCAATGCAGCTGCCCTTGGGTACTCTGACTGAAATCCTAGCTTCTGGCTCTGGGCCTGAGCCTTTGGGTAAGCTCCAGAAACACTGTCTAAAGAGTGAAAAGTGAAAAAAAGCCCAGAAAGCAACCTGCTGACATGTCCCAGTCTTTCCTCTCTGTCCTCTGTTCAGACATTTATGTGAACTGAGAGTTGATTTGAGTTATATCTGTACTTACTCCATTGATATATTAAAAAGAATCACTCACTTCCCTGTCTGTCTATCATCTATCTATCTATCTATCTATCTATCTATCTATCTATCTATCTATCATTCATCTATCTGTATTTTTTTTCAGTGCTAGGAGCTGAATCCATATCCTTGAATCCCTAGCAAGCTGAACCACTCTATTAACCCAAGACTACTCTGGGTAACTCCCTTTAAAGCTATTTGGGGGGCAGATCTAATGTATATAAAACAGTAGGTAAAATTTATAAAAGAATAATTGGGTAGCATGCCTGTTCTAACTATTTTATATACGTCTTCTCCTTTGCTTTCCTGCTGTGTAGGCATCCTTCTTTATTCTCCCGATAAGGAAAATAAGGTTCAGAGAGACTAAGCTAATTGTTCAAAACATGCAGGAGGGAGAATGAAGCCACTGAAACTCATGATTGACAGCTTCTCAGCTATGACGTTATTCAGGAAATTGATGGTCACTTTCAGGCCAAAGTTCAACAAACTGCTCATAAGCGGGCCTGTGTGATGGAAAAAATAATAATATCAATGTGATTTCTTTTAAACTTCTAAAAACCGTACTTTTCACTGTCGCCTTTTGCTTTTAAAAAGTGGATGCAAGTGTTCCTAAGATGCGTATGTAGTTTTTAGTTTTCAGTTCACTTTGCTTGATACTTGTGCAATACTGTGTATTCTACGTAGAACTGAATTTTCCATTGTTTTCTTTTATGGTCATACTTTGACATGAATGGGAGAACAGAATGATCATCAAAAGAGAAGGTGCAGGCTTCCTCAGCTAAGGTGAGGAGTACCTGCTGAGAGCACAGACGGCATCCTTGTAGCTAGTTCATGGAGACTCACAGGTGTGGCTTCATACTGCAGTGAGGCCCTACGGATCCAACTCATACTCAAATTCAAAATATTCAATAATGTCAAATTCTCAAAACCTCGCTATGGCCGGGCTGTGTATGTGCTGAAATCCAACCTCAGCTGAGCCAGGAAGTTAAACTCCAGTTACTCTGGTTGGACTTCAATCTTAGCATGAAAATTCTTCTTAAAAAAAAAATGTCTACTTATAACATGGACACGTTACATCAACTGCCACATATGTATAATATTTAACAAAATGGAGCTGTTTCACCTTGTTCTGCGTTCTGTTCTTTCTTGGTTTTGAGGGGACAGTAATGTGATATGAGATGAAGGGTCATGAGGGGCACAGCGCATAAAAACTGATCTCTGTGTTAGAAAACTGTGGTCGACTGTACCAATAACCAGCTCACTCTTTCCGTTAATTCCTGATGCTTCATACAAAACCTCAAGGTGATCATACGTGTCTTTAAATTATTGGGCAGGTTTTAGCTTGCTAAACAAAAAGTCTGAGAAATAGGCACAGCATTAGATTCCATCCCAAATCTTGTGCTGATCGGTAAATCATCACTCAAAAAAAAAAAAAAAAACAAACAAACAAAACCAAAAAACCCCAAGTGCTTCATAAATTGGTATTGCTATGTATTTTAAATACAGTACAGCTTCTACTGTGCTGTCATTTAACTCCATACATGCTATTTCATGTTATTAAAATCCATGCAAACACTAGAGTTTCCAGTCCTCAGAATGAGGTAAGAGACAGTGTATCTATAGATTCACCGTTAGTAGATTTATCTCACTTTCTTTAAAAAAGATTTATTTCATCACTTGTTTGTGTGTGCTTATGTGTTTGTATGTATCTGGGAGCTAGTGTCTTGATGCTCATATGGACAGAGAAAAACATGATGAAATTGGTTCTTTTTTTCTACCTTGTAGTCCCAGGGACCAAACTCAGGTTTGAAATTGGAGGAAAGCAAATGCAGGCCTGGTGGCAACCATTCTGACCCACTGAGACATCCCTCACCCTCCCCTCATTTTCTTATCATCCAAAGCAGGCAGACATTTTTGTTTGTTTGTTTGTTTTTTGAGACAGGGTTTCTCTGTGTAGCCCTGGCTGTCCTGGAACTCACTCTGTAGACCAGAGCCTCGAACTCAGAAATCCACCAGCCTCTGCCTCCCAAGTGCTGGGATTAAAGGCGTGTGCCACCACTGCCCAGCGCAGGCAGACATTTCTTGGGGGATATCATAATCCAATGACACCCTTCCCCTTAGCTATGTACTCTTTACACAACATTTTTGTTATAACTGAAGAAAATTTGCAAAATTTGCAAGCTGACAGAATCAAAATTGAAGTCATCTAATAATTCAACAGCTGAGGTGAATACCACAACAGCTTTCTTGGACAGTCTGCACACCCCACAAGATGGCCAGATCCTTGAGTGGTGTGAGGTACGAAGCATCCACGGGGTAGAAGTAGGAAGCTGAGCCCTACCATGGCCCTCTCATGTATAGATTCTGACTGAGGATTTGCCATTGTTTTTCTCCTTTACAATGATGCTTCTAGAATGCCACAAAAGCTCTGCCTATATACATAGACAGCAAGAAGAGACAAACATACATATACAAAGTTTTCTTTGACATTAACATAACTGGAGCTTGAGTCCATGATATCAGGGGTGTAATGTCCAATCAAGACAAAGAGGAAGAACGCAGAGCCTCACTGCAGTCCTGGGGCACCAGAGCCAGGCTGCTGCAAGTGAGCCCCAGAGCAGTCCCACGCTTTGCATCTCTGCCTTAGTGGTCCCCTATATACCAGGAGAATAAAAAAAATGTTGCTCCATACATAAGGACCACAAAGCATTGTGAAGAATCAGAGATGAGCCTCTACTGCTTTATTGTGTGTCTGCTGTTTACCAACAGGACAAATGCGGCAAGTCGCTTCAATGATTAGTCACGAGTTGCCTCATCTAGAAAATAGATAGTAGCTGTGATTTTATCTTGAACTGGAAAGGTTTGCAAGCTGGGCCAGGCCATCTCATCTCTTGACATCCATAATTCTTTGGAGAATATTCATGCATGCTCAGGAATGAAGAAAACTACCAAAGACAATTAGAGAGGACCCAAGTGTACCAGCACTGAGAAGAACCACTTACTACTAAAGGTAACTGTCCCAAAGACCATGACATACCCAAGGACAGTCTGCTGCTGTATGGAATGAGGCCAGTGCTTTCTAAAGCACTGACATATCCTTTGTCCTCAGTCCTGAGTTAAAGATCCACACCTACATCCAAAGCAATATTCCCAGCAATAGCAAAGAAACTACTTGAAAAAACATACTAGAGGTAACACTGTTATCACATGCCTTTGCTCATTAGAAATTAAATTTAACTTTAAAGTATGACATCTGCTTTGTTTTAACACTTTCCTCTCAGCATTTGGCACAAATGAAAGCTCTGAAGGAAGTCAACCCATATTCTGTGGCTTAGACCGTGAGATCAATACCAGGGAGTCACACCTACCAGCCTCGGGTGTGCTGAAGTCTTCTTGCGTCCAGTCACTCCATTTCCAGAAGTGGTTGGCATCCGCACAGCGCACAAAAGCCTTGTACTCTGTGTCTGGCTTCAGATCACTGAAGAGGTAGTTTGCGTTCATGTGAACAGAAACGTTGCGCTCCTGGGTCAAGAAAGTGAGGGAAGAACAGAGACTACAGTTGCATTTGTGTTGCAAGGCCAAACCAGAATACTGCAGTCTCTAATTTGAATTAAGACCAGATCTTTCAAGGGAAATTTTTTCCCTTAGGTTTTGTTTGTTTCTTTTTTTCATCCCAAATATTTAGTTCAACTGCAGGGCCCCCTTTCAACAGATCATCCATACTATGAACCAATGTTGAAGTAAGGGCCTGATTTATTTTATTGTTGGGTTGTTCTTTTTGTTTGGGGGCAAAGTCTTTCAATGTAGCCCTGGCTAGCTTGGAACGAACTATGTGTATAAGGCTGGCCTCCAACTTGAAATAATCCTCCTGCCTCTGCTTCTCCAGTTACAGGTGTGCACCAGCATGCTTGGTTTGAAATAAGGCATTTTTTGTTTGTATTTCGGTTGGTTTTGCAGAAAGAATCGAATTACATAGCTAAAGATAGCTTTAAACTTGTGATCTCCTAAGTAAGCCTCCTGAATGGTAGGGTTACAAGTGTGTTTCACCCAAGCTGAAAAATAAAAATAAAATAAAATAAAGCTTGTTCTGCCATATCTCTGCTTAGGTATATCAAAAAAATTTTTAAATAGGAAACAAACAAATGTTCTTACATGTATCACATCTCCTTCATATTGGAGTTCAACCTGACACAAAAATGTGTAGTTGTTTCCACGGGAGTGAACCTTCCAAGTCATGTTGGCTTTTGTAGCATCTACAGTTTTAAGGGTGACGTCATGGGGAGCCTTTGGATGAACTGTCAATAAAAGAACAGGAAACAAAAAGAGAACTCAGGCAGATCCAAAACAGAGCTCAGTAAATAGACAATTCATTTCACCATTTATTCATTCTCCAGTGCTTTTTGCTTATGTTTAGGAAAGAATAGACAATACTGGGCTTGCTGATAATAAGTATTGTGACAAGTGTATGATCTCTTTTATTCACTAATTATCTTATATATTAATACTAAGTGTATTAATCACTGAAATAAAACACAAAAAGTAATTATACATGGCTCTTAAAATTATATATAATCAGTCAGGTTGTAGAGGAGAGTCAAACTTTAAAGAAGGCAGCCGATAGAGAAAGATTAGAATACAACCTAAATCTAACTAAAATAATGTTCACAATATCAAGGAAATAACTCCCAACAATCCAATATACAAAACACTCAATAATAATGTCACCAGTTGTCAAGGGAAAGGATCATTAACAAATGCCAGCCTCCAAATGACCCACAGGATAGAACTGCTATAGGAGAGTTTAAAATAGGTCCATGAGCCAAAGCCACACAGCTGAAATGAATAGAAGGAAAATAGTCCTGAGCAAAGAAATTGAAGCTAATAAAAGGAAAAAAGAAAGTGGAACTAATGCAGAGGTGGGTCACAAAAGAAGACGGATGCTGAGTATGGCCAAAGAGGGGGCAGCATTCAGACACTAAGGATATTTGAAAAGCCATGGAGAAAACAAGTACTTTGGAAGCATCAAATACATAATCTTTCATTTAAAAGAGTACCCTATACATGGGACTATGCTCATCCCAGGCGCCATACGTTGGCAAATAAGTAACCCAGCATATTCCCATAAATTGTTGATCAGAGGCCTCTCAGAGACTCTTAAAATAGTCCAAGTTATTCCCAGTGCTCTTGGCTGCCCACTAGAACTTGATGATAAGACCTTATTGCTGAAGCTACAACACACATTAGTCAATGGACATGGGGAAACCAAGTCAGCAGTGACCTGAAGGCTTCCTGTTGCTAGGTATCTTTCTGGAAGGGGCTATACTGACTGCTGTGGGAAGGCAGGACGTCCATTAACAATCTTACCAACTGTGAATCCAGTGAACTGTAATAAAGGCCAGTGTGGTGACATGCTTTTAGATGCAGTAGCAGTATGAATGCTATAGGGGTAACCGGCAACTTTGTGCTTGGATTAATGGCCCATCGCAGAGGAGGAAACACACGTGTGCTACCAAGAACAGTTCTGTGAGATGAACATAGTATCAAAGTGCATTCTAAATGTCTACCTCTCTGCCCATAGAATGGTATACAGGATGAAGGGTAAACTAAATAATAATGGAAGAAAGGGGGAGAAAAAAGAAGAATCAGTTGAAAATGTTAGAACCTGAAAGTACAGTTGGGAAATGAGACCCTGGTTGGGAGTCAGCTGGGGACGATGCAGAATGGCTATGGGCCATAAACATCACATGGGAAACTCTGAAACGTCAGACTTTTCTATGGGTTTGTCTAGTGGAGACCACAACACATTTCTTAGTGGCCTGAAGAATCAAACCAATAAATTATAAAGGGGATGACCTCAAACAGTTAAAGGACCAAGAGTGACCCCTGGTACTCATCTGCTTATTTGCTTCTGGGTTAGCCTCTTGTGTTACTGGCTGCATTATAGACAGAGAAAATGGACCAGTCTCAGCACACACTATTACCTCTGTCTGAGCAGGGTCCCTCTCACAGCTGAAACTTTGAACCACACAGTGGCCATGTCCATTTGTGCCTGTCATCTGAGTTACAGATTACTCAAGCAACACTCTCCTGCCTAGAGAGTGGAGAACAGGACATTGCCTTGTTTATATGGGACTTAACATAGATTAAAAAAAAATGTTTCCAACAACCCTGTCACCTTGTGACATCCAAGTTGACCATTCACAAAGCTCTTCTAAGCACAAAAACAAACAGCAGACTTCTTATATCATGCCAAATGCAAGGACCATATGAGCCGAAAGCCAAAAGAATATCCCAGAAAGAAAAATAGTAGGTTAGCCTGATTAACCCAGAAATGAGAAGGAAGTAAAGAATGAGTGAGCTTCTCTCCAAACAGCATATATACGACCTCCATGTCATCGTGGTTCTCTATATCAAGGTGATGAACAGTATCCCTGCCTTTAAATGGAGCCTCCTGTAACAGGATGCCTTGCAGGCCATTCAGCAAGTCATGGTCCTCCAACCCTCACATCCTCATTCTCAGAATCTTTAGACTCTGCTAGCCTAATGCAGTCATAGCTGTTCAGAATCTCCAAGCGTGCTTGAGTACAGAGCATGACAACAGAAAACTGCCACCGGGTAGGTATATATAACCCTCAGATTTGGAGCATGTGCATTGTCCTCCACCTCCAGTCCCAACTCTTTCTTCTTTGCGTCATTCCAGGGTTTCACTATATTACAAAGGATAGGCTCAAACTCATGCTTGTCTGCCTCAGCTTTCCAGGTTGTTGGGACTTGCTGACATTAGGAGTTCCTTGCTTGCTGGTGAGCACCACTCTCAGACCAGGCATCAGATAACCCAAAGCTTTACGTGTGCCACCATGGGGTAAACTACCAGTTCTTACTAGGTTAAATACAAATTCTACCAATTATTAGGTGAAATTGTGCATTTAAGATGGGGACCATTTACCCCATGAGCAGATATCTCACTTACCAGAAGGGTCAAGTTACCCTTGACTGATGCTTAAGCTCTTCCCAGCTATATGTGGAGAATTAAAAACCTACTGGTGAGGTTTACTGACGGCTTTGCCAAACCAAAAACAGAATGAGTGTCGTGGCTGCCATCTGGCCAGTAGATGGCAACCTTTTGACTAAAATTGGGCATGGATAGTCCAATCTGCCCTTAGGCCAAACTATGTGCCCTGATGACTGTCAAGATGTCTGTGCCTGCCATTCTCCCCACCCTCACCCCTCACATAAGGGATAGAGGTGGGAAGTGGGGCTAAGGCTTGAACCAAGCCTGATGGGCCACTTGTTATAGAGAATAGTGATTAATTACAACCTTACTATGGAAAAACCATAACAACCCATAGAGGAATGAATGAATAAATGACATGATTCAGAACATCATAAAAGAGAAAATGGATGTGTTTCCAATATAGGAAGAGATATTTAAACTTGTAACCACCAAGAAATACTGTTTTATGCTCAATTCAATTGGCGAAAATAAAAAGTGATCCTACAACCTTAGGGAGAATAAGTAAGCCCACAGAGTAAGCATGTGACTGGGAAAACTACTTTGGAATATGATTTGAGAGGTAAGCATTCAGGAAGACTACTATATATTTACCAATTCCATTCTTAGGTACATGCTAAAAAAAAAGTGGATATGTGTACAGGCAGATGTAAAATCCTAACATTAATTAAAACTCTACCCCACGCAAAGCATGATACAATTTGCAAGACATTGAAAGAGATGAATGATCAAAATAGTGTAGTTCACAGGAAGTGCTATGTAGTAATTCAGAGAAGAGATTATGGTGATGCTCCCAGGGCAAACACATCATGCCAATTTAATATTATATAAAAAGCAATTACTAGATTACTATAGATGGCTTATTATACAATAAGGCCCAAACTTTCCAGATCCTTAAACAAACAGGAAATGAGAATACACATCCATATTCCTACACACAACTGAAAGCAATAGACAATCTGGGTAGAAGAGGAGAGGAGAGAGGGCGTTGGTTCTGGGATAGGCCATGCAATAAGTATATGCCTCAATACTAGTTTTAGAGTTTGTTAGAGAGCTCGTTGACACTTGAGATGTGTTCAAAACAAGTGCTTCAGAATGCATGCACCCATGATAGTAAGGGTGAGCAAAGAGAAGAACAAAGATTAGCTTCACTTGCATTGTAAACTAGGCCAGTATCTACAGAACATTCACTGGGTTGCATTGTATATAATGGTATGTTGGTGGCCATCACGGGCTGCGGCATTGCTGTCTCACCTCTATGGGTCAGGTTAAAACTGATGTTGACACTTCTTTTCCTTAGTTTGTTTTCAGCTGTGAGAGTGAAGTTATATGTTTCCTGTGAGTCCTCAGTGATTTGCCAGGTATAGGAGTTTCTGTGGTTAGAAACTTCACATCTCTCAGAGAACCTTAAAAAAATCAAAAAACAAAAAAGAAAAAATGAGAAAGCAATGACAGGGTTTAAACACTTTAATCAAAGCAAATGTATCCTGATTCCTTGGGACATTAAAACCATAAATTCATTGATCTGTCACCAATAATGAAAATGTTTCAGTGAATTTCTGTATGTGATGAAATTTCCTTGTGGGTGCTATAGACTTCAATTAATCTAGTTGAATGTTCTTAAAAATTTAGAAAAGTTAGGGAAAGTCATACCAACAAATAAGACTATTTTAACATAAAGATACAAATCTATTATTCTTATTTTAATTGTACATGTTCTTTCAGAGCACATCAGGTAGAAGACTCTATACCCCTGTAAGACACAAAAACATTTCCTTGTGATCCCAGAAGGCGGTTCTAAAATATTTGCACATATTTCCTGAAATGTCTAGGTATAGCTGTCCTTCTGCTCCGTATGTCTTTTTTTATGGGTAGAGTTGGAGATTTTTTAAAGACATACTAATATAGGCTTAACTATAAAGGGTATGAGGGAAAGATGTACCCAGAAGAAGAGAAGACACACCCAAGAGTATGCCTGTCTTCTCTAAGCGCATGTGCTTCTCTAAGAGAGAATCACTTATCATGTGACCATTAGACAAGGAAGACCACGTGGATGATGTAATCAGAGCAGACTCACGATTCACATAAAGTGTAGTTTTGGAAACGTTGATGAAACCAAGAAAAAGTCGTATCTATCCCAGGTTCCCATGAACAGTCCAAAGTCTTAAAGTCTTGGGTTTCACAGGAAAAATTCTTGGGTTCTTCAAGTACTTCTGTCCATACAAAGGAAAAGATGAAACATCCAATTAACTTCTTCCATGGAACGGCAAGTCAAAAGGAAAGTTCTGCCTGGGGTCTGAAATCCCAGGCCTCCAAACAATGAAGGGATCAAAAGATGGAAGTCAGCAGATCAATAGCCCCAGAGAGGCTCTTCAGGTACTTCCTCCATGTTAGTCTCTCTCCATTCTGGGATAGCTTAGCGACAGTCTCTATTGTGCATGAGATTGGCACTGTGTGTCTATCTGAAAGAGGGTTGACATCCCATATTGATTCTGTGGCTTCCATTAAAGCCCAGGTATGTCAGCCAGACTATGACCTGGTTCACTTCTACAGTAGGGAGCAGGGATAGTCCTGGGAATGGCAAAGCTCCTTAAAAATGTAGAGTCGCTTCTATTCCCAGAGCCTAGAGAATAGGGGATTCAGATAGTGAAAGCATCCAGGCCTGCAATTACCTCCTACAGCAATCGTGAGAGATGTGTCAGATTCTGTCCTATGGTCTAGGTATATGATGGATGGAAACTTGAAAGCACACACAGAAGACCACATAGCACAGGTATATTGTGATCTACAGAAAAGTCAGCATGTTCTCACTCCACTGAAACAGGCCACTCGGTTAAGAACACTATTGGCCACTGTTGGTGAACTAATAATACATTGTGGCTAGAAGCCTCTCATATCCATGGATTCTCTAAATCATTGCTATGCCATATACAGAAATGACCGAGTGGATAGGCCTAGCCAGAGATAAGGTCATCACAGGTCTTTGAACCTCTGTGCACCCTCTTTCTGTAGTTGGCTGGATGACAGAGCACCCCTCCCTCCATGATTCAGAGAGGATTCTAGTTCTCGGAGAAAAAGAAGAATATTTTTTTTCCAGTGTCCAGGTCATAAACGGAAATCTCTTTCCTTTAATACTATTGATTCTAGGAGTAAAACTGATACCAAATATCATGAATAAATAGGATATCCTGGGAGTATTGCTGCAGGGTATTATTTTCAAAACCTCCTTTTGGAAAACTTGTGAAATAAAAAAAACTAAAACCATGTTTGAATATGTTTTTTTTTTTTTTTTTTGCCTTCTGGTAAATGAGAAGGAAGGAGACCTAACACTAATACAGTGGTTCTCAACCTGTGAGTCATAACACCCACAGGGGTAGCAAATCAGATATCCTGCATATCAGATATTTATATTATGATTTATAGCAATAGAAAATTACAGTTGTGAAGAAGCATTGAAAATAATTGTATGGTTGGGGGTCACTACAACATGAGGAATGGTATTAAATGTTGACAGGATTAGGAAGGTTGAGAACCACTACTCTAATACTTACTTGAAACAAAGAGAACAGTACCAAATGGATTTTTAGTACCATTCATGGCTTGACAATTGATGTTTGTCCCTGTGTCGCTAAGGAAAACTACATTATTCAATTTTAATAATGACACGTGTGAATCAAGTTGTTCTCCATGGATTGGCTCTTCTTGCAACTTACAGGATACATTATATAGATTCTTCCCATACATCACACAGAGGGTGACATTGGAGCCTTCTTCCAACAGTTTGTCTTCAGGAAATAATAATATTTTATCAGGGTCAACTGAAATGTGTGCTAAAAGACAAAAGGCCTTGGTTAGAATATTACTCAGATTTCAAGATGCATCCCCTCCCACTCCCTGTAGGTAAAATGGTTTTATTCTACCTTCTGTGGAAAATAGCAGCCTAAACTTCCATGTGGTTCCTGGACCTTTTGGTAGGGAGAAACCAATCCTCTCCACTGAGGTACCTTTTGTCATACTGTCCCAGCGAAAACAGCATCAGGATCATCACTTCTGGTTATTGTGATGTTGCTGTTGTTTGTAGCTGCTCTCTGTTGGGCTCTCACCATGCAGGAAAGCCTCATGAAGTGTTTGGGTTCCTTATCTCAAGTGATGCTCAAGACTCTCAACCTCGAGATAGGCGGGGACTTGGAGCTAAGTTGACTTAACTTGTCAGCAGCTAAAGCATATGGAGATCTCGTAGGTCTCTGTGATTGTCAATCTGAGATTCAGAATCCCTGGGAGATTCTCTATCATGGTCAACTTGAATGTCTGGGAGAGGAGTCTCTGGGCGTGTCTATGAGTGACCGTATTGATTAGGTTAATCAAGATGGGAAGACTTTGTCATTGAGCTTGGCACCAGTCCCTGGCTCAGATCCTGGACTGTAGGAAACAGAGAATGGGAGGTGAGTACTAGCATTTCTGTTTCCTGATGGTGGGTGAGATGTGAACAGCTGTTGCAAGCCCAAACCAACCTGACTGTCCCTGCCATCACGGACTGTACCCCTGTAATAAGAGCCAAAATAAACTCTCCCTTAAATTGCTTAACATGACGAAAACTGCCCAGCTCCAAAGCCGTGTCTCTCTCCATCACACTGTGTCACATTCCCCTCCACCTTCACAGAGAGGCTGCTCACCCAACTCCCATCTCTGTCTGCTCCAGTCTTTCCTTCTATGTGACCTTTGACATATCAAAGCTCTAAGGACTCTCAGAGGAACTTCCTCCCTCCTGCCACTTTCTTTAGTGTCTCCCTCTAGATGGCCTTCTAGAACACCATCTCCCACCTGCCACTCAGGTTTCACCACCTCACCTCTCTCTTGAGTCTGAAGTAGCCTGGCTGATCTCCTATCAGGCCACTAGGTATTGTTATCACTGATCTCACTGTGCCAAGTGCAGCTCTTCTGAAGATTTGCAAGATCTCTAAACAGTCACAGTTGGGAAACAGCACTGTGAGCGTCAGGATTCCCATTTATACTTGTATACATTTTACAGTTACAGTTTTGAGAAGTCTAGTCAATTTTTACCAACATTGTTTATGACGTGTTTATTTCTTTCTCTCACTGTTGTTATGAGTGTTCAGAGATGGAATCTTGCTATTTATTCTTGGCCAGCCTTGAATTCTCTATATAATCCATCCAAGCTGACCTTGAATTTACCTAAACCCCTGACACACATTCCTGAGCACTGAAATTATGTGCCAACATGCTTGGAATTCTTACTATCTCTCTGCATTTACATTTTCTTTCTGCATATTTCAGCAGAAGATATAGTTGTGAAGTACATAGCCTATGAAGGTTATTTACTTTCCCTGGATATCCTTTTATGTATCTGTGACGTGGGAGTAAAAACAACCCCTATTTCTTAGCATCAGTGTGATGACAAAACCAATGTCTAGTGTTTAAAACTGTAGAATGTACACTTACTTTCATTATTATCAATGTATGCACTAAACTAGTCCGGGGTTAATAGGCTGCCACTTAGAGTTAATAAATTTGCATTGATCTTTGGCAAAGGAATGGTTATATTGGTAGAATTTCATGTAATACAATGAAGAATGGAAATGCTATTGCTAGAGATCTGGCCTGTAGCCAAATGGAACATGAGAAGCTATGCTAAAGTCCACTCTAAACCGTTCCTACAACCATGTTCAATGATCAAAATTAAGGGATAATCAAAGTTATTTCTCCACAATTCTATCACTATAATGAAAAGCTGCTTTGTTCTCCCCATATTACTCCCTGTCTCTAAATTGAGGGTTGGAGAATCATAGCCTGTGAACTAAGTCAAGCCTGCCATCTGTTTTTATAAATAAAGTTTTATTGACACATAGCTGCCCTCATTTGTTTGCAGATTGTCTAAGCCTGCTTTCTGAAGACAGAATTGCTACAATCACAAAAGAGACCCTGACAGAAACATTCCCAATATCTTTCCCATACATATATTTGTGCTGCTTTAAGAAAAACACACATACAAGGTGTTTAAGGTAAACATGTTTTGCATATTTAGAAAATGAATACAGAACTATCTGAATTAGATAATTACCTCAATCAAAATATTCAGAGGTAAAATTTCATACATCTAGAGCTCCATGGGGAATTTCAAAACCACTTTTTAGTTTTATTTTGACCAAAGAAAAATAATACCAGTGTCACTTCAGTGTCTTTCAAAGGGAATGGGATATCCTCCAGCTGATTACTGAGTTATACTAAATCAGATTATTCTTGGAGCCACTTCCCTTGTAATCACTTCTTACCACTAACTTCTTTCCAGGAACTCCAGTTGCCCCAGGAACTCTGTGGAGGGGACTTGGCATCATCTACCAGAGCCCTTATTCTAATGAAATGTGTGACACACTGCAAGGGGATATCAGATATCCAGTTCCAACTCACAGCTTCTTCCTGCTTCACAGTGGCGGTATAATTCTCCTAAAAATTAAAGGCAATATTTGGAAATATACAGTCATTACAACCCTGGAAAGTAGGTCAACCTGAATTACTCTGAAGCACAAATTTCCACCCTACTTTAACTACACCATCTACCTAAATTAAGTTCATTTCTAACCCATCACTCCCTTGGTCTAATGTCTTGGCAGTGGCAGCTACGGCCTCCTGTCTCTTCAGTCTCATGACCGTCATATTTTCTAGGGGCCCATACAGATCAAGAGAGAGACGAGAGAAACCACTCAAGCTTTGCATCAAAGATCTGAGACAGTCATTCAACCATGCCGATCATATACAACCCACTAAGAAAATCCTAAAAATCTAGTTAATTGAGTACTTACTTTAAGAAGTTGGCAATACTTGTTGGCATTTTTAAAATTCCATTTTAGCCAAAGTTAGTTAGATCAGATTAGCTAAATCTGAGTGAACACGGTAATCCTCCATGGAATCCCAGGAACACCAATATCTCCAAAGTGTCTCTTGTTTTTTTCTCTCCTGTCTTTTCAGATGTGGTAGCCAGATGGACCACATCCCTCCACTAAGCTCCAGCCATCAGAACCTTAGGCCCTAGAGACACCAATCAAAAAGTATTTTTCGTACTTCTTTGACCTTTCTCAGGGTGAACCGGGTCTTAATCTTTCTAAGACATTGGAATCTCAAGTTGCAAATTTAATCAACTTCAGTGGTGCCATGACATCTTTCTCCAGTTTTCAAGGCCTCCACAGTCTGGTTCCCATTAACCCGAAGCTATCTTCTCTCTACCCAACACTTTTGAGGGATTCAGAGCATTTTAGCATCTGCTCATGAGGCATTGCTGGCTTAGAGTCCTCCACCTCCCTCTGCATTAGGAATCAGCTGTATTATTGGAGGCCAGAGCATTCTCCATCTCTTTCATGAAGCCTTCTTAAAATAACTCAGTGTGGAAGATAGAACCCAGTGCCTCATGCATACTCAGCGAGAGGTCTCCTGCAGAGCTTCACCTCATATTCCTAGAGAATTTCCTGCCCTTTCCTTTAAATTCTTCCCATTTCTACCCACCACAAAACCTTTTTGGAATTTATTTATGATGCTGGCAAGGACCAAAGGGAGCTGAGACCACTATTTCTTCTTTGAATCCTCTGTAGCTCCAGGAATTCATTTTTTTTTTCCCTAGTGTGCCTCTCCAGAATCCTTGCCCCATCCCCAAATCTATGATGGATAGTGTTATGTCAACTCGACACAAGCTAGAGTCGTCTGCAAAGAGGGAACCTCAATTGAGAAATTTACTCCATAAGATCAGGCTGTAGACAAGCATGTAGGACATTTCCTTAACTGATGATTGATGGGGGAGGGTCCAGCCCATTGTGGGCGGCTCCATCCCTAGGCTGCTGCTCCTGGGTTGTATAATAAAATAGGCTGAGCTAGGAATGGGGAGCAAGCCAGTAATCTGAACTCCTCTGTGGACATCAGCTCCTGCCTCCAGGTTCCTGCACTTCCTGAGTTCCTGCCCTGACTCCCTTGGATGGTGAACTGTTATACGGAAGGATCAGCAAACAAAATAAAACAAAAAGCTAACAAACAACAACAAAACCCCTCCAAAATAACAAAACAAAACAAACTATCAAAAAACAAAACAAACAAACAAAAAAAAACAAAAAGCAAAACCCTTTCTTCTCCAAGTTGCTTTTGGTCCCAGTGTTTGATCACAGCTATAGTGACTCTAAGGCACATTCCCTACAGTTGGGGAATGGAGATGTCCCGTCACCGTGAATTTCCCGGGGAAGCTAGTGGGAGTCTGTACACATATACCTTGATGCAAACGATAGGTCCTCAGTTTATGGTACACAGTAACCATATGTCACACTTGTAGGCAACAACCCTTACATTCTTGCCCTGCTACGATCACCAATCTTAAATCATGTACACTGGAGAATTCACTCAGCTGTGGGATGAGAACACTGTGGTCCACCTAGGTATGGTCTATTGTGTGCCTCCTTTCTACTCTACATAAAACAGAATGTTTAAAACTGTTACCATTTTATATCAGCTTATTATTTTGCTTTGTTCCTAGATCACAAGGCGTATTTCTGTCTGCCGGTTTTTGATATCCTGATTCATGAAACTTTCATTACTTAATGAATGGCCTTTAGACGTGACGTTTGAATATTCTTAAATCTAAAGTAAATACCAGACGACAACAACAACAAAAAGAAACCATTTTGGCACTCTCGTTCTTACTGTCCTTGGTATAAACACAATCTGAGTGTTCTACCATGGGATGGATGGTCTTGCCCTGCGCCTGCCTGCCCCACCTGTCTCCATATGCTCTGAGCCCACATGCTGTGTCCTGCCTTCAAACCCAGCAGCTCCCCTACACTCCTCCCTCAAGGCTTCTGATGATTCCCATTGGGTTTTCCCAGAGATCTTGTTCTCTTCCATCTTTCACATTAAATTAACTTCAACTTCTCTTTCATATCTTGGCTCCAAGAATCTTCCATCTAAATCGTGGGAGGAAATTAGGCCTAACTCAGCATTCACGAGTGACCCTGACACCCCATATGAATTTAGAACATCTCATTTGTGCGTTCAGCTTTTAGATTCCCCACTCCTTCCACAATGACCTGTGCAGGCCCACACTCCAATAGTCTGAGCTGAGTAGTTTAGTCAGTTGAATAATATGCAGTGGGTCATGTTTCCCTATAAACTCTGTGGATTTTATCTAACCTCAGTTTATGCTCTGCGGTCTCTAAAGCCTTGTCAATGAAGAAGATAAGCTTTGACTGTGTCAGTCAAAGAAATTAAAAAAGAAATTGTGGCAAATTTTCTTTGTATTGTTTTCAGTCATTGAAGTGGCAAATTGAATGCAGCCCTCGAAGACATTAGTAGGCCACAGGAATTGGCATACGCACAGACATAGAAATAGATCTGAGGTCACTGACTCATTGCTGAGGCATGAGTCCTACCCCTCCATGATTCACACCACAGCCTCTTTCCAAGCTTGAGCTGCTAGTCTGCCTTCTCTTGCTGTTGACTAAAGAATACAGAAAACGTCCTAGAGGGAAGAGCAGAAGTTTGGCCTGGGGCAGTGCCATGTAGTATTCTTGTCATCAGAGCTCTGTGTAGCCAGCACTGTCAGGGAAGTGTCCTATTCTAACTCTGAGCACATAGGTCAATGTGCTTCTCCTCTGGCTTGTTGGAAGAGCAGTGAATGATGAGGCTCTAAGTTGCCCTCTCAGCATAGGTTGTGATGGGATTCCTGGCTTGCACAACAAAGAACTGCTCAAGCCAAAAAGAATTTCCAGAAGGAAGTGTGTTCTTTCCCTTAGATGAAGGGAGATCTCGTCTCTTCTCAACTTCAGGTACAAGAGGGGTCATACAAGGGCATGGCCTAGTCATGTCACATGAGCATCCTCCCTGTCTGGCCATGGGGATGAAGAGTGGGGACACTTCCCTGCCATTCTCAGCTGAAGTGCACACAAATATCTGTGCGCTGTTTTTTTGTCACTGTTATACTGGGGCTACAGCTGCATGTTCTTGGGGTCAATGAAATGAACTGATGGTGTAATAGTCCACTCTTTGAGATCTTAATTCCTCATAAATTACAGAATAATTTCTGCTTTCTTGTTCAAAGAGACATTTCATGGAGCTAATAGGAAATCAGATTTAAGAAAACAAAGAATGGGATCCACTTGTTCCATGATTAAAGTTCCTTGCCTTTCGTAACGTGAGAACTAATATGAACTGCCTTTAAAAAAAAAATACAAAAAAGGATTCCCTTGTTTCTACACTAATGCTTTTTTGTTGTGGTGATACACGTTAATGCCCAAAATCCCTCTAGCACTTCTCCCAACCTTCTGTTTTCGGAGGAGCATCTTTGTCCAGTAAGACCTTTGTTGAATGTTTCCCTAGACCCAAGTCACCAACCAATGCTCATCAGAACCACACACTCAGGTTTTTAGTGTAAGGTGGATGATGGGAAGATCTGAGATGGTGGCGAGTGGACAGCTCTTATTATACATACGTGTTACTGAGGCGACATCGTACATTCAACAGCTACCGTTGTGGGAAAAGGCAGCCAAGTAACAGACCTGCTATAAATCCTAAAGGACTGAGTCAGATTTTATTTATCTTAGGCTACTGGCTTAGACTTCATATGTAGTAATGGATATGGGGAAAAGCTGAAGACTTTAACATTAGTGAACGGCTTAACTGAAAGCATGGACATTCTTCATCCCTATATGCCCAGCATCTGCTGCTCAAGAAAAGGGAGACCTTGATGGGGCTGATGGGCTACATCTCAGCCCTCTGTGTCATTCACTTCCAAAAGGTTTCTAAGGCACTTTGACAAACTGTCCTCAAACATCTCATAACAATGTCTCATGCCTGTGATCAATATTCTCTTAGACGGGACTGCGTTAGGCCCAATAGACACTTCCGTTTTCTAAATCAAGATACCTCAAATAACTCAAAGCAGAAAAATAAAAGTTGAAAGATTTTTCTTTCATTTGGTTTGATGTGAGGGCTCATGTAGTCCAAGTTGGCCCTGAGCTTACTCTGTAGCACAGAGTGTCTTGAACTCCTCATCCTCTGGCCTCCACCTCTCAAGAAGGATATAATCAATTAGCCTTGTTATTATTATTATTATTTATTTATTTTTAGCAAACTCACATTCCAGGAAATAGAGAACACTTAGTCACTATCCAAAGCAGTCCTTGAGAACCCTTTCATTGGCCACATATTAAATGCTGGGAGTTGCTCTTCTGTACCCTGAGCACAGGACAAGTAAACAGATCCCCAAGAAGACTCACCATGAGAAAAGTGTTGGTAAGTCATTATATCTTATTCAGGACAACCCAAGTTTCCTGGGTAATCCTGGGTGGATAGAGAGGAGGGAGGGTGAGATAACATATCTTCATGGAACATGCAGATCCAGTATTTACAAAGACAGATTCAGCAACTGTTCCAAGCACAGCAGAACAGAGAGAATAATCTAGTCTCTTAATGAAACCATCAAAACCAGTGGGGCATATTACTTTAACTTAACTCAGCAACTTTCAATCTGTGTGTTGGGACCCCTTTGAGGGTTGAACAATTCTTTCACTGGGGACATCTGAGACCCTCAGAAAACACAGATATTTATATTATGATTGATAACAGTAGTAAGATTTAAGTGATGAAATAGCAACAAAAATAACTCTATGGTTTGGGGATCACTACAACACGAAGAACAGTATTAAAGGGTCACAGTATTAGGAAAGTTGAGAACCACTGCCTTAACAAAAAAACATAGGGATGCAATTGTTTAGGAAACCTGGATTGAGAGGAGAATGTTCTTGAATGGTATAAAAGACAAATCATAGCACAGGAAAAGAATTTTTAAGACAATAAGTCAGAAAGTACTTACCACCCAGATGATGTTGGATGTTTTCAGCCTACTGATCTCTATTTGAAATATCATGTTTAATTTTTGATGAGTAAGAGCTGGGACAGTCCATTCTAAATTCACTTCTTGATGTTTAAATTGAATAGAAACTGCATGTATCTCAGGAGTCAACAGTAAAGGCTCCCCCAAGACTGAAAGACCAAAAACAAGTATAAAACAACTCTAAGTGGGGGCATGATTAAATAGCCACACATCAAATAGAGACACTAGGGAGCGTTGGAAAGTACAGTTGCATATGCATCCTAGCATCAGAATCTGAGAGAAGCTGGGAAGGAGTTAGATAGAAGTTCTATCAGCAGAGGGAGAAATTAAGACCCATATGAAATGAAGAACTTGCTGGGCATTGTACAACACAATAATAAGCTGGGGAAGGGGAAAAGCACAAAAGTGTCTTTCCTGGGTAGTCAGATATTAATTTATAATAGAGACAAAGAGACCTTTTTTTCTAAAAAAATAAAATCTCATATTTTAAAAGTAAAAAAAAAAATAAAAATTGGGTTTTAGAAATTCAAGGTTCCATGGCTTATTAGAAAGCTAGAAAACAGAAGCATATTATATATCTAGACCGAGGTTCCATGTATTTCAATGTACTAAGCTCAATAACCTCCAGAATGAATTCACTGAGCCCTTTGGATGAGGCAGCAATAACCGTAGGCACTACATGTGAATCAAAACACTTGTGACAAGGTTCCTCAATCAGAGAAAGAGCCTAACTGGAGAGGGACTTTTTTTGCAAATACGGTGAGGGAAGGAAGAATGTGTTCAACCTGGGTGCCTTGACTTTGGAGTCGGCAGTGAGTCCTGTCATAGGATGTGAAAAACATGAGCAGGAGTGGACAAAAAAAAAAAAAAAAAAAAAAAACCAAATGACTTGAATTTCATCAAAATTAAAATCTGTCCACTGGAAACAAATTGTTACCCTTGTCCAGGGTTACCAAGAAAATTAAGACTGCAAATGGGAGAAGATAATTGTTAAGTCACGTGTTAGATAAGTTTCGAGTATTCATACTATATAAAGAATTCTTACAAATCTACAACACAAAAGCAATGCTCACTTTAAAAATTGGGTGTAGGGCTTGGACATTTCTCCAGATAAACAAATGGCCAAAGAGCAAGATGAAAAGATACTCATTGTCCCTTGTCATCAAGAAAACGAAGATCAAATCCAGGATGGCATCTCAAGTGAGATACCACCTCACACTCGAGGTAGACTTCAGCAATAATTTAAAACATGGAAATCCCACATGCAGTCAAGGGTGTAGAGAAATCTGCAGGTCTTACGCACTGCAGGTAGAATGTAAAATGGCCTGTTACTGTGGAAAACATTTTGACAATTTTTCAGAAAGTTATAATAGAATTATAAAGTAAGACTCAGTAGTTATATTCCTGGGTCTATATCCCATCCACCTCCCAAACGAAAGCGGGATTCAAGTTAAACATCTGCCCGTGAATGTCTGGAGTAGTGCCATTTACAAACATCGAAGGGTGGAGAAACTTCAAATGCTATCCGTGGGTGACATTCAGATTGAAAGCTGTGATTTCTACATAGCGTGTGACTATATTGTTTAGCAGTAAAAAAGGAGAGATTGGTGACCCATGCTACAGATTGGATGGAACTCAAAGTATTATGATAAGTAAAGGAGCCCAGAGTTACGTATTATCTTATGGGAAATATCTAGAAAAAGTAAATTCATAGAAACAGTAAGAGGTTTCGTAGTTGCCAGCATTGGACAGAGAAGAATCAGGAACCATTGCTTAATAGATATTAATGTTTCGAGCAGCCAGAAGCTATGTCTATAAGCCTGGGCAACCTTAAGCATTAACAAGCAAGGCTCTGCTATTCATCTCCAATAAGCCAATGAAAGACATGAGTAATAATGTACAGCAAAGAAAGCAGGCATACTCAATCTGACCGCATTGGCAAAAGAAACAGTCTAGGTCTAGCGTGAGATGAGGTATAGGTTTCAATAGAAGGCAAGAGGTGTGCATCATCATAACTAAGCAATCCCACTCAAGGTGTGGTCCTGCCCATCACTGGCCCAGGCTTCCTGCAAGGTGGACTGACAAGTCCTTAGAACTGGGAAATCTCTTCTTGGGAAACAAGCACAAAATTAGAATATCTTCACTCCCACCAGGATGGTTCCAGTAATATTACAAAATATTAAATACCACTGACGATTGGCTCACTGTAACCATAAAGAAAGTCAATTTTATATTATGTGACTGTTAACCTCAATTAGGAATGTCAAGATAAGGAGACAAAGCAAAGTCTTCCTTAATCTGCTCCTTTCAAATTTTTTGTCACAGGAACTTGAAAGTAAATAATGCCCATGCTCTCTCTGTGTCTCCTGACCCATGACTTTTTTCAGCCCTGTTCATAGCAGGTGGTAACAGGAGGCTTCTCTGCAGTGGGCTGTGATAGAAACCCGAGTGTGAATAAGTCTTACTTAGCTCAGGGGAACTGAGATTAATAACACAGAGTGAGTATAAGCGTTCTACAATCGATTGGCAAATGCATGAGTCAGCTCCGTGTCTAACCTTATTTCTGGAAGCTCTAGCCACATGCCCTATGTTGCTTCAACAAGAGGATAGTTCCTTACATTGACATGTGTTATCAACAAGTATGGAATGACTCAGGGATTTGAGTAACATTAGTTACTCAAGTGGGGGCGAGAGGAAGGGGGAGTGGGAAATAAAACTCCAAGGTGAAGCCAGAGAGATCACAGGGACCATGGAGATTAGCAAATCCAATTCCACTGATTTTTTTTCAGAGAAGGTAGCTGAGCTTAAACGTGGGGACGGAGAGCTGTACCAAAGCTATAAACCAGACTGGACCTAGGCCTTCTGGTTCCCAGCTCTCATACCATGAAACTGCAGTGTGGCTAAAGAGGCCATCTGGGGACTCAAACACGGGCTTAGTCACAGACACCCGCCCACTTTTCCCACAAAGTTTCTCTGACCAGCCCTAACACTGCTGGAGGAAATAATATGTGGCTAATTCCCAGAACGAGATACCATGTAACAGTATTTAAAACAATGTGATTCCAAGAACTTTCATCATCAAAAGGAAACATTTATCTTACCCAATTGTTTAAAATTAAAAAAAAAAGTTTCCTGAAAGAGAGATACAGATTGTTGTATCGATACACACACACACACACACACACACACACACACACACACACACACACGTAATTATGTTTTTCTCTATATTTAACCTTTGTTAGAATGTGTATCAGGGGAAAGCAAGATGGCTCTGTGTGTAAAGGTACTTGCTGCTAAGCATAAGAATGTTGAGTTCCCATCCCTGAAACCCACACTATGGGAGAAGAGAAGCAACTCCCACAGTCTGGCTTCTGACCTCCACACGTTTACTGTGACATGCGTATGCAGGTACACCATCAGTGTATGCTCACACAGACAGACACACATGCTAAATGAATGTAAACAATAATTTAAAAATCACCACATATTTACAACTGTTTTTATACATACCCCAGAGACAGAAAAATACATCAACTCTTCCAGCTGACAGAAACATAGCCAGGGAGAACTGAAGGGTCTTACATATGTTTTATTGCTTGGAAGAAGTTAAGTCAGGTTATCTAAAATACAGTCTCTGATCAGAGCTTGACTTGCTGAATAAGTGGTAAGCCCACTAGTTCGAGTGGAGGTGTAGTAGGCAACAGAAATGGAAAGGAGTCCCCACAGTTCAGGTGAAGACGAAGACCTACCAAGGAAGGCCTGTTTCATAAAGAAAGTTGGAAGCAGAAATGGAAAAGTGGTTGCCAGGAAATTAGGGAAACGAGTTTGATCTAAACAACAGAAACAGAACCTCAGAGACTGATCTGAGAGCAGTAGGTTTCACATGGAGAAGATTTGCCATGAACAGTCAGGTCACATCATGAGGCTCATCTTGAGGCAAGCTGTGGAAAGCTTTGTAGATGCTTGCGAGTTCCCTCAGCACAGGAACTTTGTGTCTCAGCACCAGGGGCCCTGATCTGGGCCAGAACAGCCTCCATGCTCAGCCTCTGGTCAGTTGCAGTGAACTTAGACTGACAGGCTGAGGGAACAACACATGCCACCACGGTGGGAGCCCAGTCACCGTGCAGCCCCAGTTAACTGAAGAACTCAATTAACTGATATTTAAGAAGCCAGAAAAAATAGTATATTTCCACACACCAAGACCAAACCTAGATGTAAAAGACACGAGGCAGAACTTATGTATCTTTTCCTGCAGTTCTAAGAGATAAATGAATGAGTTTATGCATATTCTTTGCAAATGTCATTTTCATAAATCCATGCATAAAACTTGGGTGGGTCATTCTGAAAGGCAGATATCTGTACTCTTTGTTAAAAAGCAAATACAGCAAAAAATAAGTACAAGAGGAAAAAATTGTAAAGTCTTGCATAATGTGGACGAATGCAGGGAAAGTTTATGACCCAATAGAAACTCTTTCAAGTCTAAAAATCTATGTTTAACCAAGTTCAAAGTAATAAAGTATCCATACACATTTAATAACATTTCCACTCACATGTGCTTTTACAAAGTTAATTTATTCCAAACTACTGCCTGCTGTGGAGTGCTAAGAGACAAACATTATTTCTCTGTAAACAAATTTCAGCAATTAAGATAGTACCTTGTATGTACTCAAGAGATGTTCTACTGCCTTACAGACTTTGGTTGCTTTCAGCCATATTTTATAAGCCTAACAGCTCTCAGCAAGTGTGGCTAAGGGGCATCAGAACTTGTTCTAACTCAGCAGCCAGAACTAGTCTGGGCTGTTCCACCTTGCCCAGCAGGATTCAGAAGGAAGTACCTTGGCAATAGTCTAGATCAAACAGAGCAATCAGGAAGCTCTGTGGTCTCTGGTTCATTCACAACCACACCAATGAGCAGAACACCAAGCCAGGGCTGAGGAGTGGGCTTATTAACCGTGCCACCAATGGAGGGAGGACATGCCCGAGGCAATTGGGGCTTCCAGAAATTTACCACATCTCATGTGATTTAATCACCAGCTCTGAGGAAAGAAAATTGCTTAACCGTTCTCCAAAGCCCCTGTTGGATGTCTTTACACGCTCTCTTCTCCTGTTTTTGCCTCTTACCTTCACTTCGGGATGTCCTCAGGGACAGCACTGCCAGGAGAAAGGCTTGATGAAGGACCACAGAGAACGCCATTGGTCCGAATATCTGAAAAAGATAAATGACAAGAAAGAGCCTTTTACATAGCTTTAACTCCTGGTATGCTTCTTGGGGCAGCTGAGGTCAGAGGCGGGACCAAAGTCTTTCATTCTCCTCCTCTGTACCTGTGTCTCTTGTCATCTGCTTTTGGAAGAAGAATGCACATTTCCTTGTCCCATGAAGTGTTCCTCAGTCATAAAAGAGGTACAGCTGACAGTGTGCTCAAGGGACCTGGAGTCAGCTGTGAAGATGTCCTACTATAGATTACCGAGGATTGGTAGAAAAAGCTTAACGACTGACTAGCCGGTTCATTGAGTAATCCAAACAAAGCTGGTAATCAAAAAAAATTAAAAATGAAACAGAACAAACAAAAACTGATTGGAAAAAAGGATAAATATAGTCTCAAAGGGGCTCAGTTTAAATTAATCCCATGAAGGGCTGGAGAGATGCTTCACAGGTTGGGAGCCCCGGGTGCTCTTGCAGAGAACCTGGGTAGCATTCCTAGCATCCACTCAGTGGCTCAAAACCACCTCTAACTCCAGTTCTGGGGATCTGACACCCTGTGCTGACCTCTGTGGATACTAGGCACAAATATGGTACACAGACATACATGCAGGCAAGATAACTACACAAACAGTAAAATCAATAAATTATTCCAATTTTCTTAAACAAATTTTTTTTAAAAAAAAAAGTAATCACCCTAGCCATCTATACTCTCCCCTTTCCCTCTCACCAAAATTCAACTTGGGAAAAGTTAACATATTCCAGGAAACAGTCGTTTTCATTAATCAATACCATCTTCATTTTGTTTTGTTTTGTTTTCCATCTGAAGAGAACTGCACATTACAGGCCCTTAGAAAAGAGAGCCGCTGATTTATCAGGTGCTTTGATCAGAGAACAATCTGAGGGCAGAGAGAAGAAGGCTGGATGACCTCAAAAAGACCAATTTGTTCTTCTTTTAATAGTTTAAAGCCCATTAGTCAGGGGAAGCACTGATCTTCACTTTTCTCTTTAGGACTCTGAGTCAGCAGAGATTCATGGAAAGCCCAGCTCTTGCTTTTGCCCTGTTGCCCAGATTTCATCCAGAGTTAGAACTTGGAGACGGCAGACCCCAAGGATTCGAGAAGTCCGTGGATTTCTAAGAAGTTTATTGTTCATGGTGTGGTAGTTGGATCTGGCTGTGCGCTCCCTGCCCCCGCCCCCCAAAAGCCAGGGGGAGCTGGCTTAAATAGGGAGGGTGAAAGAGGGGCTGGGAAAAGGAATAACTTAATTAGCTATGCCCCTCCACGCCTCAGGTAACTCATGAATATGGAAATCTCCGTTAGTCACGCCCTCTACCTGGATGGTGACACAAAACCTCTCTGGGAGGAGCTACTCTGAGCCAAACGTCTCTGCAAGGTGCAGGCTAATGGAGATGTAGGTCTCATGTGGGGGTCTGGAATCCGGGAGCATGGGGAGATACATGCCATCCCTCACCAGGCAATGGTTCACCTGTTGGGTCTCGGGCTATCTCAAACTCAGTGCTCTACTGGGGAGACCAAATCATCTCTTTGCAGCCCCACAAGAACTCCCGTGAGCCTGTTTATGAGCCCACTGCCACACATGTCTATTTTCAAACCGTTTTACAGGTAAATTGGAACCAAGCAAAGACAAGATCTAAACAAAGCAAATGACTATGGCGGTCACCAGTGCCTGAGCGCTGAAGCAGCAGCCAGCCTTTCTTCACATTTCTGTCAGCGCTGCATTCTACTCTTGGCAAACACATCATTCCATTCATAACTGATCTCTACTCACAACTGCACAGGCTAACTGAATGCCAGAACCAGAAGGAGAACTAATTCAGGGAGAAATAGTGTGTGTGAGAACCCAGGGAGCAAAAGAGGAGGACTACTGGGACTGGATGTGTGTGCCACAGCCCTGGGCCCAGGCACTTACCCCTGCCCCCTCCCGCTACTTCTTGGGACATGAAGGGGCCACCATGGGAAGGAACTCTCACGTCACAAAGTTGAAACAGAAGGCTCTGGAGCTGGTATGCACCTCGAATGGTTTCTCTATGATAGGGCTATTTAAAATATTCCTAAACACATCACATTATATCAAGAAGCTAAAGTTACAGGCACAGGAGTACTCAGCTGAGAAATTCAGAAATGATGGTAAGTAGAAATCAGAGGTGAAAGGTCATCAGGCAATGCAACCGGAAAACACAGGTATTCTCAAAGACCAGCACATAGGTCTCACAGGTGTCTCCAGAAGCCATAAAGACAGAATTGCTTCTGATTTCTTGACAACTATAATCTGCCTTATTACTGTTTCACCGTCTGCACATCTGGTTCTCCTCAGCCAGCCACAGTCTGACAATACAGTCAGGAAACTTCCAGAAATAATAGACAAGCTTACACATTTTTACATTTATTTATTTAGTGTGTGTGTATGTCTGTGTGTGTATGTGTTTGTATATGTGTTCATGTGTATATATGTGTACGTTTGTGTATCTGTGTGTATGTATGTGTTTGTATATGTGTGTATATGTGTATGTGTGTATGTTTGTGTGTATATGTGTGGTTTTTGTATGTGTGTGTTTGTGTATGTGTGTATGAGTGTGCATGTGTGTCTGTATATGTGTATGTGTATATGTATGCATATGTGTGTAAATGTTTATGTGTGTGTATGTCTGTATGAGTATGTATGTGTGTGTGTGTTTCTGTATACGTGTGTGTGTGTGTGTGTGTGTGTGTGTGTGTGCACTCTCATGCCATGGTGTACACGTGGAGGTCAGACAACATCCTCCATCTTGTGGACTCCAAGGTCAAGCTTGAGTTGCTAGGCTTGGCAGGAAGGTCCCCACCCCCTTGAGCTAATAAGCTTTAAATGGCTGCTACGTCAGTCTATTGTTACACTTGTTCTATGCCATTGCTGCTGGTGGTGTCTTAGTGTATGATCATGTACAATACTAGGAGACAGTAGCACAGCCTGTGGATTATCCACTGGGCATCTTAGAATGGGCTCTCTGCAGACACAGAGGACCCCACAGTGTTTGCAGTGACTTCACTGAACAGTCACCGTCAACTTGAGGACCATGGGCAGCAGGAGTGTGAGTCCTCACTGTGCCTGCAATCCTCCTGGCAAAATCAATAAAATCCTTAAAAATGGGCAGAATGGGAGACAACTCAGATTCTCGACAGAACATTTTTTCTGAAACCACACAGAAATAGCCATCCAACAGCCAGAGGCTACAGAGAATTAGACATCACTTACTTGCAATCCCTGGGGGACAGCATTGTGCTGTAACAGAACCTTCTCAAATTATCCTACTCTGAGGATGTCACCTATTTTTTTTTTTTTTGATGGGACCATGAGGAGGAAGAAAGGCCAGAAGATTCAAGAACAAATAAGAGGAGAAAGTGGCTGAAGGTAGCGCATGAGCAGGAAAGAAAGTCCTGGGATGAGATTGAGGGTTTGTGGAGAGCAGAGCAGACAGCAGGCATAATATTTGAATAATGTGAGTTGCCATGGTGAATCACTGGGAACCACAGAGGCATATTGGGTTGATGTACACAGTGCAGAGACTGAGGGATGCAGAAAGAAATGGGGGACCAGGAATGGAAAGAGATACAGAGTCTTGGAATCAGTAGTCCAGGACAGGGTTCAGACTGTGAAGTGTGGTGGTGTCAGGCAGAGCTGATAAGCCATGGGGTGGGAACCAAATGAACCAGCAAGAATTTCAGCTCAAGCCCTTTGGATACCAGACCATCATCTAGCAAGGAAGAAGACTCGGATGGATGGATTGGGAGCCTACCCAAAGCTCAGCTCCAGACAAAAGTTTAAGATGCTTATTTGATCTGCAAGAGAAGACCTTAAGCAACCAGCGAAATATATGGAATTCCTGGATCAGTAGGAGAAAGCCAGGTACGCATGGGACTACATGACTGTCAAGGCAGAAATCAAGACAAAAACTTGACAAAATCCAAGCAGAGAGCTTTGGGATACTCCGCAGCCTGTGCTGTCTCCCCTGACCACACATGTGCCATGCAGAGAAAAATTTAAAACCCAGGGTAAGCTTGGCTATACAGCACTCTCAAGGATGAACCCTGTGGGTGAGTAGGTGAGTGTGCGGGCTGACAGATCAGTACCTACTTATGGAGCAGAAATTCCCCTCTGCTCAGGGTACATCACATCCAGGGACCCAGCCTCAAATTCACCTAGCAGCCTCAGAAGCTCCGGGCTCTCAGCAATATTCTACTCCCCTTTTCCAGTGAGAAAATGAAGGTGAGGGGTGTATCTGTCAGCACCACTGAGTCCTTTCCCCAAATCTGCTGTTTCTTGCCTCTCCCCATTATCGAATGGGCTCTGTGCCACTAGATCTGTGTCTGAGACACACTGTGCACCAGAGACCTAGGACATGGCAGTCTATGAAACATCTTGGAGACGAAGAAAAATGGACAGCAGTTTTCTCCCAGCCTCGCCTCTCTGCTTTCAACTTACTTTAATGAAAACACCAATTAATTTCTTTTTAGATATTTTTTCCCATCACCAAATATTACCGAGTTCATAACCTTTGGCCCACATGGGCTTGGGGAGCTGGAAAGAGAAACTGCTATCCGTGTTTCAGTTTACACTCCGTCTTCCACTCAGTTCTGCCTCCCCATGTCTCTCCTCCTCTCGGGATTCTGATCAATGTAAATCAACCTAATACTCCTCACATGTCTGAAACTCTTGCTTGCTTCACTGTGTTCTTTGGCAGTCATGGCTGTTCTTTAAATCTTATCTGCAAACTCCTATTCCCGCTGCAGATCCTCTGAATCTCCTTCTGCATGAATGTTACACAGGTCCTAAAATGCGCTGCCAAGGAACACATAGTCGGCCTTCTCTTACCAGAATGTCTTGCTCAGCCACAAGTAAGATATTCCTGGGAAGTTTCTCTACCACAGATAATCCTCATGAGACATAGCAATGGCAACAGTCCTTTGCTTCCCAAAACCTGGGTGTGTTGCCAATTTCTTAAA